TGTGGTAGCCACACCTTTACGCTCTCACCGATTCAAAGGGCAGAGAAAAGGCTCCTCCAAGGATGATCCATATTCTCGTATACTTTAGAAACTAAAATGGAATTAGATCTTTTGATCAAATATCGGTGATATCTGATGGTTTGCTTGAATTAAGAGTTTGCTTCAGGTCCAACCATTACATTTCAATGGGGGTGTAGTGCTGGACTTTGATTTAGCCTGTCCAAAATGTGAAATTAGTCTTCTGCCATCCTGTTGTAGATCTGCTTATATGATTGTAAGGGGACCAACTATGCCTTCCAGAACTTGCAGATGCAGTGTTGACCTCATGGTTATGTTAGAAATGACAAGCTGTGCAGGTCCTGAGGCAGCAAAGCACCTTAAAACCATGATCACCCCACCACCATGGTGAAGACCAAACTCACAATGTTTCTGACCATCAGAAAGGACAGGCCAGCCCAAACTCAGTTATTGGTTACTTGTTGCAAATTACTGTACTTAACCACCTTCTTTTAATCTAAAAAAAACATTGAAATATATAGAAGGGTATACTTAAACTCTTTTGGCTTTTTAAGAAAAGATGTATTTTCATTTAAAAACCAGGATATAATGGTAGGAAATTATAGTTCCAGTTATTTTAATTGTCTTTATATGTTTAATAATATGTAAATAATAATTTTCTTTAGATCAGGTGATAATCAGTCTTTTCTTTTTCAGTTTCTTTGCTGAAACCTGCATGTATTCAGAAAATAAGGCAAATGAGATTTCACATTGTGTGCAGTATCATGCAATGCATAATTCAAATTAATGTTTACCTTTAGAATACATTTCTCTTATCTTCTAGTAAATCTGTCTAGCAAAAACTAACCTGCCAAATTACTGTTTCAGTTGATTATTAATCCACAGCAATGTGTAACCAGTCATTTATAAAATTATTTTCAATGCTTCTTGCTGTAGTGGAACACTTGTTCAGCTTTTCCTACCACCAAATCAAATCCCAGCTAAATTCTGTTCTCATTCTGTTTTCATTGTAGTCTCTTGCAAGATTTGCAGCCATGTTCTTTTTGCAATACATTTTTAGATTTTGTTTTCTCTGTAGAGCAAAAAAGTCTTGCATAGTGAGTTTTTTCCTGCTGGGTTTTTTAGAAATTATTTTGCAACTGATAATTACAGCACCTTGCAGCCTGTTACACTCTGCTGTCTGGCTGGACATCAAGAAGGTTTACGAGGACTAATGACTCATCAGAAATCTGATGCTGTATGAGGCCACCAACTAAGTGGATATGTTGTCTTGCCCCGATTATGAAAAGCCTAACTGAAAAGAAAATGTAAACTTGCATCCAATTAAACGTGAAATGGATTAGCAACCTTTTACAACCATGACGTTTTCCACTCATGAATCATACAGCTGTTAGCTATATTTGAGAGATGGCTGAAAGTGATAAAACTGTAATGAAGCTCAGGCAGACAGTTGGGCCAATGGCAACTTGGGATCCATCCATCTGCTGAAACATATCCTGGTCTACAACAGTGGTTTACCAACACTTAATTAAAAAGTAAAGCTGTAAATCTAGCATCATTATAAAAATCAGGATTTTGACATGGCTGATGAGGAGCATGACTAGAACAGTCACTGACATGCTTTTTGTACAATAGCTTTAAATCGGGAAATATGAATATGACTTGTCACGTCCAAAGTTGAGTTTGCTGGATGTAGCTGTGTTGTAGACAGATGGGAGGGGGAAACACTTTGCACGTCCTCAGTTTGGAAGTTGATGTTTAATTTTTTTCCACAGAGTGTAAATATTCCTCAGCCGGGACTGTGAGGCTGATGAATGAAGTGATCTTTTTTTTTTATTTAAACAAACCCATCGCCTGCTGTAATCCCCTTCTCAGATGGCAGAACTGTAGACCTGGTTTGCATCAGCAGTCAACCCCTTTATCACCGCAGAGTCCAGCCATAACGACTGGAAACTGAAGAAAAAGCTGAAGTGGTCTGTGCAGCCTTGAGCTTTTCTCCCTGCTCAGCAGTGCTTGTGCCTGTTATGTGACTCTAGTACTCCGTTCAGACTCAGGGCATCCGTCTCTGTGGGCAGTCGGACATTTTCCGCCTGTACAAATGCGATAATATTATGTTTCATTGTATTGCAACTTTCTATGTACATCTCAAAGCACTATACATAGGAAACTGTACCGATGTACAGTAAAATGAAGACATACAGTATGAGTACATTTTCAAATCCAAAATTAAGTTTTAAGAATCCCATTTTGTCCAAATGCGTTTTTAGATGGGATGTAAAATCACCAGTGAAAAGAGAGACATATTTCATTTGGGAATGAGTTCCTGAGTTTAGGAGCGCAAGTTGGTGGTCCCTTGCACCTCAGCTTCAGTGGTAATATGATTATATGACTGATACCCAGTCGATATTCTACAGTAGCTGCTCCAGCAAGCAGGGCATTACAGTAGTCAAGAAAGGGATGAACCAGTTTCTCCACATACACAACATGGTGGGTGGCGATTAATCCCATTTTACTTATGTAAAATCCACAAATGGAATAAATGATGCTTGAGAGTTGTTATAACTGATGCCATCTGTACAGTAAAATTAATGCAAGAACAGGAAAAAAACAAAATGTGAGAGTGTCTTCTGAAATACAAAATTAAGTTGAGCACAGGGCGATATTTGTCAAACAGCTTTCAGGACTGTAAAACAAAACAACATCTTTATTGCAAGACTGTCATGATTATGAGTTTCTGATGTCTTATAATCAATTCATATAAACTTTTTTAGCATTAATGGTGTTTCGGCTTTGTGGTTCTAGGGTCAGAGTGTTCAGGCAGGGAATTAAAGACCGATGAAAACGGTTAGTACTTGTTTAAAATATAGTAATAGTAGTATTCTTGTATCTCTGCCAAGCTTTTCAAAAATATCTGTAGTTCATAAAAAAACACGCAAAATGTTATTCTCCATACTTACTTTGCAGCAATGGACACTTTTTTTAAAAACTAAGATTATACAGAAGTATTTAATATGAATATTGCATAGAAAAAATAAAGGTGTTTGATTTCAGATTATGTGTGCATAGAATATTGAAGGTTCTTGCCAAATTTGCTTTGAGAAGGTGCAATCTTGTTAAAGGAAATCATCGGTGGTATCACTCAGTAGGCGCCTCAGCGATAGGGAAAAAATGACAGCAATCGTATTGAAAGGCCTCTTTCTCGTTGCTTCTGATCTGACACAGATGCGTCTTTGTTCCGTCATTGTAGAGGGATTCATAAGGAAAAAATTCCTAGACATTCTCCAAACATCCCCAAGTTTAAACTGGGCCCATGGTGTCTATTTCTGGAGCTCTTGTCATTAACATTGACCAATATTTTACAGTTCTAACACAGCATAATGTGGAAAATGGAATGAAGTGAAGGCTGGTGCTGGCCAAAAATAAAATCAAATCAAAATGACACAAAAATACAATCCCTATTTGTTAAGATAAGTGATCATACTTATTAGGATTAGTGTACATAGTCCATGAAAACAGTTCCTAGGACTAAATAACAGACAGGACTTCATGGATGTCAAATGTCTATGCCTGCTTCTGAAATGTTTCCCAAAAAATGGTTTAAAGTTTTTATTGTTCTATGATTGTGCAATGTCTGATGTCAGTTTTCTTTATATATAGGTACATTATTTTGATTTTAAGAGTTATTTGGGAATATTCAGCAACTTCAGAGTGGGCTCTTTATTCTCAGGACTAGCAGAAGCTAAAAACAGCACACTGTTTCTATCTGTTGTGGTGTGACAGTGAATATCATTTTTAGTGTGCACTCTGGGCATAACAATTGCCCAAAAAGTCATTAATAAATAATAATAATAAAATGCATAAGGCATGCATAATGAATTTTGGCTGGTTTTCAAGATCTGCTGCTATGCCAACAGCAGCTGCAAGCAGGATTTCGTGGGAACCGAGTCCTGAGGCGAGAAAAGCTGATATAAGCTAAGGAGTGCCTTTCACAAGAAGAGCTTACAGTGACCTTAGCTCTTCATAGACATGGGATCCTCAATCACCCTGCATTATCTGTGCCATGTATAGTATATACTATAGAATACATTTATAGCATAGTCTTCCCATTTCACTGCTTCTCATTGAGTTTTGTTTGACTTTAAAAATTGAATCTCTTAAATCCAGGTTAAACAAACCAAAAGAAAAAAGGTAATTTATTTTTTGGCTTTCACATCTGCCTCTCCAATGTTCACTACTGTTGTTCCTTCGATTTTGACAGTGGAGTATTTAACACTGCTGAAGTTCTAGGGAGCACAAGGCAGATCATGTAGGTTTGACCAAGGATATTCCCTCTGTAAAAATACAATGAAAGCTTGTCTTTAGAGGTACATTAATTATCAAGACTCAGTGCTCTCTGATCTCTGATGGAAAGTGCAGAGATCAGTAAAGGGTTTTGTTGCCCCCAGTGCTTATATGTAGCATCCCTCCTAATTCAGATTTTGCCTTGTGTAGATTTGTTATATAGAAATAACTTTGCTCTTTGCTATGTTCCACTGTTTCACATGCTGTTCAGTATGTATTTCTATATTAAGAACTACTCAAGGGAATTATTAACTTATCACAGTTCAGTTAGGCTGTGTGTACTTTTTATGCCACAGTAGAAACTACCACTATCACTACCACAGGAGTGCTATCTCACTCTTGGGTAATATTCAGATTCCAGTTTTCACATGCAAGCATGCAAGACTTAAGATTTGTGAACATGTCTGATTTGCAGACACAACAACATCAGCCCAGTCACAGTATTGTAAGAGAGTTGTTTAAACAGGAAAAAACTTGTGGTTTAGCACTGCTCACTTGTGTTAACTAAAAAAGGAAAGGGACACCGAGTGACTAATCAGGAAGCACATTTTTACGTGTCCTATGGGCTTGAGGATGCAGTGACTCAAATATCTGCAGGAGGCTGAATGAAGAATAATGTGTTGTTTTTGCTTTCCCCACAGCTCTTCCATGTTGCTTATGTGCTCATCAAGTTTGCAAATTCACCAAGACCCGATCTTTGGGTGCTGGAGCGATCCATAGACTTCGGCGACACCTACCAACCTTGGCAGTTTTTCGCCTGTGAGTAACAGTCAACCTTCCAAAAGGATGAGGCAGAACTCTAGAAATAGCTCTCGGCACTAAGACTAAGACCCGGTGCTCCAGGGAGAAAAAACAAACTTTAGTCTCCTCTGACATGTTTATGCATTTTGATTCCAAGCTGGAATGGATGATGCGTGGGTATTACTCTGTATTTAACGGCTTTGCAGCAATTGTTCAAGGGCAGACTGCTCCGAGACAAACCCCAGACAGAAGAACAAGTGTTTGTATGGAATGCCAACCTGAGTTGTTCGCTGAGCAAAACAGACAGATCTTCACAGCGCTAGAGAGAGAGAGAGACAAAGCAGGTTCCTGTTGGTTCTGCCTTTGGCTTGTTCTGCCCTATTTTCCTGGAGACCTCTCTGTGGGATTTGCTGTTTGTCACCACACTGAGTAAGATTATTGACAGCGTAGGTGAGGGCAGAGTTCAACTGCTGAAAGGCGAACAAAGCACTGTGCCCCTGGCTGCACATTTTCTTAGAAGTATATTTTTTTATGACATAGTGGCTTCAGTGGCATACTGTTTTCTCCTACAGACATCTTTCTAATTGAACATAATTGATGTCCAAGCAAAGCTCCAGTGAGCAAGAGTGAAAGCAGAGTTCAGTGAAGGCTTTCGTTAAAGAATAGAACTCTAAATATCGGTCATCTTTTGTAGCTGGAGAATACCTGATTAAAGGCTTGGAATAACCAAGCCCTGATCACATACTGCATCCCATGGAAGATGCTGAGTAATTAATTTAGTCATTCTGGTTGCAGTTTCTTTTGAGCATGATTGACTTGGATGAGCTAAGATGATTTGTGTAACCACCTTGAAGTCCGCCTTCAAGTTCGCCTTGTTTCGTTTTGTCAAGAAAATACTTTAAACCTTGGATCCTACAGATTTCCCCTAGCTCTTTATGCAGATGAAACTCTCCTGTTTGATTTGATCAGATGCCTAAAAACAGAACCTGGTGTCCCGTGCTAATCTAAAGATCCCCCTCTGACATTGCAAATTGTGCTCATCAGGTTGTCAGCGTCTAAAGCGGTCAAGCGGATCTGCTTCATCGAGTAAAGGGTCTATTGTGTGGGTCATCTTCTTCTGACCTCAGTGCAAAGAGCCCAGATTTCCTTTTCTGTCAAGTGCCCACTATAAGGCTGCATGTCTGCTATTGTGCAATTATCAAGAACATTCACTCAACTGCACACTTCCTGAACGTCTTTAAGGGGCCTGAAATTGAGTCTTGGTAGTTGAGGCCGCTTTTTAGCTAAAATGCAGTCTTGGGGGTTCAAAATTGTGGTGAAATGTCAGAACAGATAATTGGAAGTCTAGGGAGTTTAATGTTGCCTCGTTTATTATGGCGAGGAAGAAAATGAATGGACCAGAAAATCTAGGTTTTTTTTTTTTTAATAATTGTGTTTAGCCAGCTGTCATGAGTCAAACTGATTTTGTAAAACTCTTCCTGTTATGTGTTCGCATACCGTGAGGTATAGGGCCCCTAGAACTAACGTATCGGAGGGAAAACTAATTGAAGAGATTCTTTGCTAACACTATGCAGAACACAAGCAAATTTATGACCGCCAGTGCCAGGGTTATCGTGGTTCTGGAGGGCTGCAGAGATCTCTGGATTTTGTTCCGATGTGAGCTGTCAATTAATCTACTTAATAATTGGCCTAGCTAGACATAGTACAGTAGTGCATTGCTAATCTCCCCTTCATGTACCTGTCCTTACAGTTAAATAGCCTTGTTAAGTAGGAGATTCAGGCTTGTGTTAAATATGCAAACCCTCATGTTATTGTAGCCATCGCAGCAAGAAAAGAACAAAACTTTAAATGACCATTATTTAACAAACGTGAATTAAAGACTTTTTGACACAAAGTGCCGTCACCTTCTACTTAAGGACCTTTCTTTACTTTGTGTGAAGTAACAGGTTTTTCCCCCTCTACGCTTTTGTGATAATTATATTATTTATTGGAGAATAAATTATATTTAGTGTTTAAGCTATATAATATTGTATTATACAAGCCATATAATAAGACTTTGGTGTTTAAGATTCAGTGTTTAGCAAACATTCATTTGTGTGAGTCCAGAGTTGGTAAATCCTTTTGTAGGTTTAACATACAGAGCACTTTGCCAAGGCATTTTTGTGGCTGGCAAAGGTTAAAGCAATGCACAAAGCCATGTTTTTCTTGTCCTGGAGAATTTTTGTGTTGTGTACAAGTATTCTGGGAATTTGTACAAAGAGGTGGGAACAGTACATGAATTCCAACAGATCGTTTTTTTTATCTAGCCTGGCATTACCTTGTAGAACTTGCTTAATTAAAAAATATATATTATATTAATAAATATATTATTTTTAATATTTAATTTACCTTGAATTTTAAAAAGATGTCACTCAAGCTGTTTTACAGTCTAGAGGTTGATGCTGAATCATGGATCAGCAGCCACACCTGCAGATCCAAGAACAGAATACAATGGGGCAGAGCGGTGGCTCTGTGGCTAAGGATCTGCGCCTGTAACTGGAAGGTTTCCGGTTCAAATCCCGCGGCCAGCAGAGGAATCCTACTCCACTGGGCCCCTGAGCAAGGCCCTTAACCCTACCTGCTCCAGGGGCGCCGTACAATGGCAGACCCTGCGCTCTGACCCCAAGCTTCTCTCCCTGTCTGTGTCTCCATGGAGAAAAGCTGGGGTATGCAAAAAGACGAATTCCTAATGCAGGAAATTGTATAGGGCTAATAAAGAAACATTACATTACATTACAATCCAACGAGGGGCAGTAAGTTAGTGGCAGGATCTGGGCTTGACTGAGGAATCCCCCTCTCACAAGCCCTTTGCTATAGCCATTGGGCCACCTACTGTACTGTATCCATAACAGATTAACAGTGTAGAATATGTATTTTAATGTACATGTATAGAGTGAGTGACAAAAGTGAGTGACAAAAGGACCCCACTTTCCTCATTATTTCAAAGATTAGTAGCACCTTGCGAGGCCTTTGTGGTTTCTAGTATTTGGTGATCAGAGCCACAGGCTGCTGGGGGTCACAGGGCTCTAATTTTTCCTTTTAAGATGAGGTAGTCAGCTCGGCTCCTGAGGGGGTTTATTAGACTACCAAGGAAATGAGAGCGTATGTTAATGAGGACTATACGAGCCATTCTCCTTCCCTTCTATTAGTATTGCTTTGGGGGCCATGCAGTTCCCTGTAATGTCAGTAATGAGTGAGTATTATATAAAATCAGACCCTGGGAAGTACAGTTCATTGAATACCTGTATCCCTACCCTCCATGGCTCTTAATCATTGTGCACTGTGGGTAATCTGAGTGAAGGTGTCAGTTGTGAGAATAGAAATGTGACTGAGGACAAGTGAAGTTCCCTTCTAGATTTCGGTCGTTTGCAGCTGATGCGGGTTTCCCTGATTTCCCGAGCCTTTCTCTTTCCCAGCTTCCAAGAGGGACTGCATTGACAGGTTTGGCCAAAGAACGATTGAGCGCATAACGAAGGACAACGACGTCATCTGCACCAGCGAGTACTCCCGGATCGTCCCCCTGGAGAACGGAGAGGTGAGGCTCTGCGAGCACCTTGATTCTCAATCTGTTTTGGGTTTTGGTACGAGCCAACCATATAAAAATGCCAGGTCTGATGGCAAAATTTAGTTTTTTTTTAAGGTTTTCTGATGATTAAGACTGACCCCCAAACTGTATCTTCTGCTTACAGCACAGAAAGAAAGGTTTGGATGCCTTAGCTTCCCTTTTTAACAGTTTACAGGGATGGCCCAGTGAACAATGCCTGTCCTTGTTAATAACTCCCCCATCCCTGCTAGACTCTACTTCCCAGTGCTGTTTCAGCTGGGCCATTATTGTTCATTCTTACAGGCAGCCAGAAGAATCGTGCTATAAATGCAATGGTTGTTCTGTGTTCAAGCCTTGTTGTTGGTGTTTTCAGATTGTTGTGTCCCTGGTCAATGGGAGACCTGGAGCCATGAACTTCTCTTACTCCCCTGTTCTGAGGGACTTCACCAAGGCCACCAACATCAGGCTGCGCTTCCTGAGGACCAACACGTTGTTGGGCCACTTGATGGGCAAGGCGCTACGGGACCCCACCGTCACGAGGAGGGTGAGTGTCCGGACTGGGGGTCCGCTCAGATGGGTTGGTTGCTTCTAACTTGCATTTGCTTCACAAGATTTGCGCCAGGCCTGGTCTTACCTACAGTGTGAGCTCACCTCAGTTCAATTGACCATTTCGGTCATTTACTTTGGAGAGAGCCCAAGGGAGGAAAAATAGGACCACTGCGTCATGTAGTCCGTTCATTCAGTATGGTGTTCGGCAGCTTTTTGATACCATCCATCCATCTTCTCACTGCTTCTTCCAGTTCAGGGTCGCAGGGGAGCAGGAGCCTATCCCAGCAAGCAATGGGCACAAGGCGGGGTTCACCCTGGACAGAAAGCCAGGGATATAGACACACACACCCTCGCACCCTCACCCCTAGGGCCAATTTTACCAGAACCCATGTTTTCGGACTGTGAGAGGCAACTGGAGCGTGGGAAGAACATGCAAACTCCACACAGATAATACTCCAGGCCTAGAATTAAACCCAGAGCCCCAGCGCTACAAGGAAGCAACGCTAACCACTGCCCCTTTTTTTATACCAGCAAAGAGGAATTTCCTGCGTTTTCCAAATCAGTCACGAGGGGGTTTTATTTGACAATTTTTAATCCTGCTTTCAATTTTCTTTGTGGTCGCTCAGTACTACTACAGTATCAAGGACATCAGCATTGGTGGGCGCTGTGTTTGCAATGGGCATGCAGAAGCTTGTAATGCCAAGGATCCCACAGACCCCTACAGGTAAGACGTTGGGTTGATCGGGGCCTATAATTTGTGCCCTTTATCGTTTCCCTGGCCCCAGTAACTATCTGTTGTCCCTTGCGTCCCGGTTATGTTTCTTAACCTAAAGCAAATTCATATGAACAAATCTGAGGCATAAACATAGTTGTTGGTGTGGAACATGTCTGTACAGTGTCTTCAGTGTTATAGCTTCAGAGCTGTTAATCTGTTAAGACTAAACAAATGTACTGTGTGTGGGGCCCACTGGAGTGATAAAAACACATCTGTTATCAGTTTTAATTGCATGCTTGAGGTGGCCCAACATGCTGTGTCTTGATTTGTGAGGGCTTTCTGACATTTTTAATTCAAATTTCCCAGTTCATTTGTTGTCAGAAAAATATGATGTGTGTGGACCAGTTGCTGCTTTTTCTCACATGGAAATTGCGGTTTCCACCTGCTGTTTTTCGACAGCAGCTCTACTTGTTTGCTGTGAATGTTAGCATTTACGTGCTCTATCCTGAATGGTTGAGTCGCTTCTGGGTTTTTTCTCTCATGATCACAGCAGATGTTTAGCTTTGGATAAACATTCATTTTTGCCAAATGTAGTCATGCGTGAGAATGTGCATTTGAAGTGGTCAATCTGTTGTCCTTCAATGTAATTAAGTCAGCTGGCGTGTTAGGGGAATTGTGATTTCAGAGAACTATTCCTATAAACCCACAATCACCATTTTTTTTTGTGTGAAACCTTTATTATAAACCGATAATTCATAATTGAATAACTTGTCATAGGGCCAGTTTGTACAGTAGGGCTTTTTTACTGGAGCAATGTGACTGGGGTGCTTTTTTCAAGAGTACAGTATTAGTGCCCCATTGGGGATTTGAACTCATGACATTGTAAACAAAAGGCTGCACCACACCACTAGGATGAACGTATTGACTGATCGTTTTTCATATTCAAGTGTTTTGAAATTATTAAAATACAAGAGGGTCTTTGCTACTTTTATTAATCTAGATTAATTCATTATTTTTTTCTGTTTAGGATTGGTGCATACCACAGCATCGAACAAGATTCCTTACTGTGCTATACTGTTATACAGTATGTACAGTACTTAACCAGAATAGATTTTTCTTACCCAGACATACCAAATAGATTTTTATGTGGGCTGTGATATGATACGATGGCTACAGAGGGTTGATAACCGTTACAAACAAGCAAGACAAAAGTCAAAAATTGTTTGCCAGGTACAGAGATATAATTCAGATATCTTGTGCAACCATTTCAAAATGCCATGAAAATGTTGTATCTACCTCCATGGGCATAGCCTATTGTTAGGCTGCAGCTACACCACTTTATCAGGAGAGGCAGAACTGCCAAGAAACAGCAATAAAAAACAGAGTGTGAAATAACAGATATATTAGGGCAACAAAAGTCCTTTATTGTGCTGTTGGCATGTTAGTTTTCTCCAGGCTATAGTCAGCTATTGTTATTTTGGGTTATTAAGATACATACTGTAGCATGGTTCGAACTAGTATAAATCCTTTTATGTCTTGTCTATAGACACTTGTTTGTAAGTCCTTCAATATTACAGAAAATAATATTTCAGATGTTTGATTTTTGTGTTAGCACCCACAATGAGGACAGGAAATGTTGACATGACTTGAAGGAAATTGTTTTTGCTGATTGTTCTGAAGAAGCACCTGGAATTTGCCAAATGCTTTGGAAATTGCAGGAGTCGGCCAGATGTGCTGAACAGGACGATTTGAGATTTGAGGCGAGATCATCCATTTCCAGTGCTGGAGGCTATCTACACCATCTCCTGTAGCTGTCATTACCTTGTCAAATCCTCAAGAATCCCTTCTCTGCCTGGGGCACCTCCTCCAGTGCTAGTTTGTGTAACACATACTTTTGTCTAGAGGGATTCAGTCCTTTTTTTGTTATCCGTGTTTTTTCAAGAACTTTTCACATCGATCCTTTTTTGTATTTTTTTATTAAAAGTTAGACAAAATGACATTTGCACCTGCATCATTCATTAAAACGAAAAATGAGTTTCCAAAAGATCAGCTTAAAAAGCTTCATTCTGAGAACTAAATGAGGTTGGCTTTAGGAGGAGCTGAATACACAATAATGTCCAGTTTTTTTTATTGCCTCACTGACTGGGTTATTAGAAATCATTTTGTTGTTTACCATATCAACAAGTGATGTTGTAATTGTAATTAAAAAAAAAATCCAGCAGGGATGCTTGCCTTTTTTCTACAGGTAAACGTCCAACAGCTTCACTGCTGACCTGTTTATGTATCATCCTCACTTGGTAGCGATGAAAGATGTTATAGTATTTTTCCTCTTTTACCTTGCTTGAACATAACACATTTCAAAGTATCAGAAGCAGTTAGAAGTGATTGTCTGCAAACAGAAGTAATCCAATCGAAGTTAGAAAAGTCCAGTAACGGCAAACCACACTATTTTGTGCCTTTTGCTGAATGTAATTATGTAACTCGTGGAGCGTGTAAACTGGAATCCATCTTTCCAGTGAGTGTGGCATTTCTCCCGAGGAGAGTTCAGAGGGTTGGGAGATAAGCTGGGAATTCTGGGTGGTGGAAGAGACGTTTATCAGCGGAGGAATTCAACCATTTGTCAGAGCTCACAAGATGGAGACAGCGCGACCCAGCACTCCCAGACCCGCGTTTAAACCATCGACACTAACCAGGCCAAAGCCAGTGATGTCTTGTTTAAGATTACTTGGAATTTGTTTAGCATTTTCACATTTTTGTTTATTTTAGAAAAAAAAACGCATTGAGCTAAAATGTGTTCTAGTTGTCTATCTCATTTTTACACCACACTTGTCGCATTTCACAATATGCTACTCATCCCATCCTACAATTTGTTTCAATTGTGTAGGGTGAAACTCTGAATACACAGTGTGCTAGTGCCAGGATGACCTTTTCCGCTTAATTTAGGGCTTTTAGTTGTGAGTTTTATTTCTAGTTTAAATTAAAGTAAACTGCTGCAGTAGAGTGTGTGACAAAGTTAAAGCTCAGGAAGGTTTCAGTGATATGCATATACAATTATATAACTATATGGTTTCTTCAATAGTGCATTCTCCCTCATTGATTGAAACTAATTGCTGTTTTTCTAAAACAAAATCTTGGCCTGTTCTAGCGTAAAACTTGCTTGAAACATTTTTTCAAGTCATACGGAAAGCACACTATTTAAATGTGATCATATATATTATTTTCAGCCTTTTCTTGGCTTCATTTATCATTTCTAGTTATTTTTACAATAACAGTGGTAAGCCTAATGAACCCTTTTTAATGTAGGTACTCTGACAAAACTGTACAAGAACAAGACTTTGATCTGTTTACAAATGCTGTGATTGTACTGGAGCCCTAAATATCGTAGCACTCCATTGTTTCTCAGATCCAGATTCATTTTTAAAAGACAATAAGGGTTTGATCAGTGCATGAGGCCCACAATGAAGAGTAATTATCTTGTTAGGTCAAAAATTGCTTGGAGCTGTTATTGGTTTGAACTTGATTTCTATTTGGCGTGTAGCACTGGTAAGAATAAGTGACTGAGGTCTTAGCTAATCCATCTGAGAGTGACCATTTTTGTTGTTTTTTTGGATGTTAAAGACTGCAGTGTGACTGTCAGCACAGCACTTGTGGAGCATCATGTGACCGCTGTTGCCCGGGATACAACCAAATGCCCTGGAAGCCAGCTACCACGTACAGTGCCAATGAGTGTGAACGTGAGTAGAGACATCGAGTTCGGGTTGTATGAGTTGTTTCTTTTGTCTGTGTTCATAAGGAGCTTTTTTTCTGCCTTCCTTCACCTTGGGTGAGGGTCTTGATTGGCCTAGGTCAAAGGCATTAGAAAACCAGCGCAGCAGTTTATGTACCATAATACATAAACATCAGATCCTGAACCATGTTTGTAGGTAGAGTTATGCGTTGTGGGGTTAATTACATTGTAAAGCCTTCTTTTAGACTTTTCTTTACTGTCTTGTTTGTGGTTAAACAGAGACCTCAAAATAAATCATTTTGTACAAAAGCTGGGGCTGAACCTTTGGCTTTTGGTAGCAGTATCCAAACCCATGCTTTTCATCTGCTTGCAGGTTTCATTGTTGTTTCTTGGTTTCCTACAGTGTTAAATCTGTAACTCGGTTCAATTCTGGTAATAAATCTCAGGTATGTGAATTCAGTTGCAAATCGAGGCTGTGTCAAACATAGTGATGCCAAAGAAAATAATGCAATTAGTTAGTACATACAGGTCAATGAAATATTAGTGTTTAAGAAAGGTTCCATAATGGCTAAAGTATGTAAGACGTCTCTCATGCAGCTGGTTTCTGGTATTGTTTTTTTAAATGACTTTGCAAATTGGAAATTTGTATATTGAAGGGAGTGTGTTCTTGTTCGAGAGCTTCTGTGGGTGGATGAGGGCCTCCCCCATGCTGTCCTGTCTTATCTAGGCTCGCAGTAAATTAGAACATCTGTCAGCAGGAATAAGAGGCACCAGCAGTCTAAACTAAATGGAATTGTTCTTTAATTGTTTTTACTGCGCATTTCAGGGGTCAATCTCAATAGTTTTTTTTTGTTTTTAAGAGAGGCCCATAAGGAAACGATACAATCTATCCTTAATCTTTTTGATGACACTCACGTGATCCTGTGACAAGGAATTGTACTGAAGTCATTTCTCATTCCTGTTTCAGAACACGCAACAGGAACTTAATATTATTACTTAATATTATCCCCAACCCATCAAAAGAAACACATATGTGTATGAATTTCCGTGGTACATTTAAGAACATAACGTGCACAAGACTGGGTTGAGAACACAGCCTTTCTGCTTCTTCTTAATCGCCAAGGCATTGCTCCTCGTGGTCCTTGGTCAGACCAGGCCACAAGAGTTTGACTGAGCAAAGGATCCCTTTGTCTCAGGATTCTGTCTCCTTCTTCCTTCAGGTTCTACTCATCCTCTTCCCCTCTGTCCTCCCTCTTTCCTGCAGCCCCCCTGGGCCTCTGGGGACTCTCCCTCCCAGGTGCAGCATGTTTCTCCGCTGTGTTGAGCAGTCATGGGACTGTGAGTGCGTGCGTGCGTGCCTTGAGTAACCCCAGAGCTCATTAGAGAGCTGTCTGTTGATACACAGGGCTGTACTCCCACCACCCTCCTGCACTGAAGGGCAGCCACTCAGAAATCCTTGAAAGTAGATGCTGGTCCTTTGTCTTTGAGTTCCGCTTTAATAACCTTTGGGAGTTTTTCTTCAGTAGCCCCAGAAAAGGCAGCGGAAAGGTCCCGTTCTGAAATTTCTCCCATATTGTTTACGCGTCACTTAAAACATCAGTTTAAACAAGTATTAAAGGAACAAGTAGAGGTTATTTCCGTGCAGAAAAGTATGAAGAAAGAGAGAAAATTGCAGTGTTTTGTCCAGCATTTTGCTTTTTTTTTTACAAGCAGAGAATTTGTCTGTGCTTGTTTTTTTCTGAACCAGCGCCCCATCTCTGTTCTCATCCAGATGGAAAATACTTTATTTGCAATTTTTTTCAGTAATGCTACAGAGCCCACATGAAAATGATGAGGGTTCATCCCATGACTCTCCTGGAAGCAACATTTAAAACAAATAATCTTTAAAAAATCTGTATGCATCACTGTATTGCAAATTTGGTTTTAGCTTAAAGTGTGAAGCATGATATAGTGTTTTGATTACACTTAATTGAATGGAAAAATACTCATACTTTATACACTGTAATGGAGTTTTCAGACATTAAGGCATGCAGTGTGCTACTTTGTAATTCGGTGCTACAAGTGTGGTAAAACAATCCTTAAATTTGATTTCGTTTTCATTACTCTTATGTTAATTAAGATTTTAAACATTTCAGAATCTTGTTTTACTTTACACCTTTCAGTTCCGTTCAGAATATATATCCTGCATGCTACCCCTAACTCCATGTTCTGATCTGCGATTGTCTGGAGAATGTATATTTTCTTTTGGCTTCTGATAAACTCTGCCCATTTTGCAGTGTAGCTCTAAAGCCTGCATGACTTTCAATGCCAGTTCTTCTTTTTCCCTTCGCACAGCCTGTAATTGCAACAAACACTCCTTTGATTGTTACTATGACCCGGAAGTGGATGAGCGCCGGGCAAGTGTCAATGTATATGGGGAGAACCGGGGAGGAGGAGTCTGCCTGGAGTGTCAGGTACGCAGCTGCAGATGATTTGAAGCCTGAGCTATCACAGGTCATTTTCACTGATACCTGATGAACGTCTGCTTGTTCTCTCACATACAATTGGCCTGTATATTGCTGGAACTAAAGCTGTGAATGATGCAGTTTAGAGGATGGCTAATTTTACTCAAGTTTTATTGTCAGCAGTTTACATGTATCTGGAGCACTTCCATTACTTAGCATGAGGTGGGCTAATAATTGTGTTTTGTGCCTTAAATAATTAAAAAGGGATGTTTTAACACCCAAATCTTTGAATCATTATTACATGGAAAGGTGATCATTTATTTTTTGGGGGAGCGCATTGGAACGTTGTTGTTGTTGTTGTTTCCTTTCACAGCATCACACCACGGGCATTAACTGTGAACGCTGCATCCCTGGATACTACAGGTCGCCTGACCACTCCATAGACTCTCCGCTGGTCTGCTCACGTGAGTGATGTCATTGTGCGCTCTGTGTGGCAGCATGTGAAATATTGTCTAGGAGACAGCAGATGTACTGTTTGTCATTAAGTGAGTTTAATGTGCGCTGTGAGATGGTCACTTAACAAGTTTTTCCATTTTGAAAATCGTTAGTATGCCCTAAGTATTTTAGGATTCGATTAGATTCGTAACAGCTGTTAAGCCTTTTCTTTTACAGAATAATATGAGATTTAAATTGGTCGTATTGAATTCAGTGGGATGTCATTTGCAAATGAATTGATTATAGAAATGAATATAATAATTCTGAAAGTGAAAAAGAACACTTGAGGTACTGTAATCGCAAAATGGAACGAAAATGGAAAAGGGTAAAATAGTTTTAGCAGAAGTATTTTTTTCTTTGGGTCCAATCTTATCCATCTGTGCTAAAATGAGGTGAGTACAAAAGTTTTAAGTCAACCAATAGGCTAGTGATCTACAGTAGTACATTTGTCTGGGCTATTAGTAGGAATTTCACTGGACCACGCTAAGTATACCTGGTTATGTACAGTAGATCCACACGTGCATTTACAAGAAACCTTACAGATTAGAGGTTGCGGACCCCTTTAAAAACCCCTTTTATTTATCCAACAAGTGGGATAAGCAATTTCTCTCTCCTCTACCTGATCTCCTTTGTTGTGCAGCTGTTGTTTAACAAAAGCCACAGCACATCGCCCAGGTGGGTTCTTTAAAGGTGAAAGATGAAATGAGTCCCCTTTCATAGTTAAAGTCTGGTACTTGTCTTAAACTGTATCCAGTTGTCTCTCTCCACCAGTGCCCTGTCTGGACACAATACTTGTACAGTAGGTCATAACTTTGAGACAGACTAAGCTCCAGTCTAATCGGATCTTCAGTGTTAAGGATTTCAGTTTCATTAATGTGTGGCTATTTGACCCCAGGGTGCGTCTGTGACTCGGCGTTCACAGACGGCACGTGTGAGGACCTGACCGGCCGCTGTTACTGTAAGCCCAATTACACCGGGGAGAACTGCGAAGCGTGTGCCGAGGGGTACGCCAGCTTCCCCGAATGTTTCCGTGAGTCTCGCTGCTCTCTTTCCTCATGGTGTACAATTCAATCTGTGTGCCCGAGCTGTCTTTAGGGTTTGGTCTAAAAGTAATTCGCTCTCTTCATGTTAAAGAAACAGGACAGACACCTGTCACTGTATGTGGTGTCTTTAAAGAGTAATAAGGAGTGTGTGACATTCTGAAGCAGCCGGGTATCAGAATTTACGTTTTGTGTTGGTTTTGAAAATATTCTCACCCGTGTATGCTCTTTAAAGTTCTGTATATCTAAATACACATTGTGTCCTTGTCCTAAAAGGGACATTTTATGGCAACACACGTTGTGCCTGATGGATAAAATACACTTAGAAATGCTTTTGTTTAGACCAGAGGAATGAGAGAACACGTTGTCTCTCATCTCGCTCTCTGAGTGGTCGTCCGTAATAAGCTTTTTAAAAGTGCTCTAAACTGTGCTTGGGTTGCATCCCTGCTGCAGAGAGCCGAGGTTTGCAGAGCAGGAGCTAGCTTGCTTGAGCTCCATTTCTCAGCTGTCTCCCTGCGTTGAATGATTCTTGTCTGCTCACCTTTCTCTCCTTCTTGGTTTGTGTCTGTGCAGCTGTTCCTGCCTATCCCAACAACAGCAACGGCGAAGCTCTACCTGCAGGGGAAATAATAAGTAAGGTTCTTGTGCTTTTTTTAAAAAAAATAAAAGTTGCCATTCAAATGCCATATAGGTAAAGGAGCTTTTCAATCAGAGGTCCAGGTGCCCTAGGGTGTTCTCAGCGTCCGTTCAGGTGTCTCCCCAACGAGGAAAAGTGCACAGTGGTTCTGCTTTGAAAAAGCTTACAATCAGTCTGTTCTGCTTTAATATTTTGTAGTTAATTGTTATGTATTTGTATTACTAAATTTTGATTTACTGTTTAAAAATGAGGAATTCTCAGAATTTCACAGTTTCCTGAAAGGAGGTTTTCCTACCACAAAGGTTCAGGTCTGAAATATTAAATGCTAAAAAGATGATGGTGTTTTGACCTTCACTGCCCTGTTTTTTTGGCTGTGTCTCGTCATTCCACAGACTGTGAGTGTAATGCTGCCGGCACAGAGGGTAACTCCTGCCGCCCAGATCCCAGTCACAGGGCCTGTGTCTGCAAACCGAACTTCCAGGGATTTCACTGTGACCAGTGTGCGCCCAATTATTTTGGACTCAACTGTCAGCGTATGTACTGTGTGTTTGTTTTCCAAGTTCCATCTCGATCACAATTTTCTGTAAGGTTCTACTTTTGCTGAAAGTGTTGTATTTAGTGAACAACATGAAAACATTGAATTTTAAGTATGTCAGCAAGGAAAATTTTAGATTGATACCGTTAGCTAAATCTTTGGAGTCCTAACATAGCACAAAATTTGACACTTGGTTGCTGGCTGATTTTATTGTTTTAAAATGTTATTTTTTGTCCAGACTGTTTTATTTTTTACCAAAATCTGAATCGGCATAATCCATGGTTTCCTATTCTCCTGGTCAAGATGTGCTCCCTGTTTTTTATGAAAGCAAAAGGAACCATTTAAAGTTGCATGTCTAATAAGAGGAAATATAAATTAGAAAAGAAAAAATAATGTTTTTCTACATAGACAGCTGTGAAGTGGCAGTTGATAGATTGGTGCAAAAAGATGAAATCATCAGGTCTTTTAATTTCCTTGTAGTCAGGCGTTATCGGTTTCATCTGTTAAATTGCAAAATAACTCAATACTAAATGTTTTGCTGTCTAGAATATTAACATCCCTCATCCCTCTCCTCCCAGCCTGTCAGTGCACTGGACCAGGGGCCTTGGAAGGCAGCTGTGATTCTGAGACGGGACAGTGCCACTGCCGTAGTGGGTTTGAGGGCTACCACTGTGACCGCTGTGCTCCTGGGTATTTCAACTACCCTCTGTGCCAGTGTGAGTTTCTGGGTATAACTCTAGTCTTTGCTGTACTTTGACTTATGCAACATACTGTATGTGATCCCCAGCAGATCTGGAATCAGATCAGGAATTTTTAGATGTGTTAGGGCAGATAACTGATTGTGGCCAAGATGAGTGAGGTGTCTAAACTGAAACTGAAACTGGGGTCTGGGGTGGGGGGGTTGTGTCCACCTTACCAGAGAATGAGGTCAGTGGGTGGGGCCTTTTATGAAAGTAAGGGACATGGCTGTGGCCTTTCATGAAAGTGAGATCAGTGGGAGTGGTCTTTCATGAAAGTGAGATCAGTGGGCGGAGTCTTTCATGAAGGTGAGGTGAGTGGGTGTGGTCTTATGAAAGTGAGGTCAGTGGGTGTGGCCTTTCACGGAAGTGAGGTCGGCGGGTGTGGCCTTTCATGAATGTGGGGTCAGTGGGAGTGGTCTTTCATGATAGTGAGGTCAGTGGGCGGGGTCTTTCATGAAAGTGAGGTCAGTGGGTGTGGTCTTTTTTGAAAGTGAGGTCAGTGGGTGTGGTCTTTTTTGAAAGTGAGGTCAGTGGGTGCCCTGATGAGAGGTCTTCTCAGCCAATCAAGAAGAGTGACTCATGCCTTGCTTGTCTGTGGGTTTTATTTCAGTGTGTGGCTGCAGCATAGTGGGCTCCTTGCCTGAAGTCTGTGACCCATTTGGCCAGTGTCTGTGCAGGCCTGAGTTTGATGGTCCACACTGTGAACAGTGCAAGTCTGGGTTCCACTCCTACCCCAACTGTCAAGGTACAGAGTCCTAGTCCCCATACTCTGACACTTGTGTGCTAACATAAAAAATGTTTACTTTCGTGCAGATGCAGGGCAGTGTTGTTAAAGAGTTTCCATGGTGACGTAGGGTTAAAATGACATTTGAAGAAATGTATCATTTTACATAGGCAAGTATGTACATTTTCTTTGTTCTTTGTAGTTAAGGAACTGCCATATTTTGCCTTAGTGACTTACCGGCACTTTTCATTGTATTATCAAAAAGACAGCTGTGCTCTACATCCTAAAAACGAGAGATCTGGACAAAAGGAGATCGAGAGGGAAGGGAGCAGAATGGGGTAGCTGTATTATTTGCTTTGGGACGTACAGGTGTTCTTGGCGAATAGATTTCCCCGATATCCAGTCCCACTGACTCCCAGTGCTGTCATTTGCAGTTTGCTCCTGTGACCCTCGTGGCTCTGTCGATGCGAGCTGCAGTGCCTCAGGGCACTGTCACTGCCATCCCAACTTCTCTGGTGTTTCCTGCGACAAGTGTGCCCCTGGCTACTATGGTTACCCCAGCTGCACGCGTAAGTTTCCCATTCATGTCCTGTAAGTCTCTACCCGTATACTCTGGCCACACATTTCATTATCTCTATTTATAAGTTGCCTTTGAAGATTTTTACAAAACCTCATTTTGCAAGGATTGGACCTGGGTAAGATTTTAATTGCCTGCATTGTGTACTCTTTAAAGTCCCTTTATGATGTGGTGGTGTGTCATTCCTTAAGGAATTTTACCTATTTATTTATTCTATTTTGCTAGGGGTTTTATCCTAGTTTTTTATGGTTTTAATGTGCACTATAGGATTACCACAGTAAATATTTCTATGAAACTGCTTTCAGTTAGGTATGTTGTTGTTTTCCCATGGTGCAGAGTATTATAGACCACACAGTAAAAGTGCAGAAACGTGGATACATTTCCTCTGATGAACAGTCATGAGGGATTACGTCTTCCATCTCCTTTCCCAGCCTGTCAGTGCTCGATGGAGGGCTCCCGTCACAGCTCCTGCGACCAGGTGACTGGGCAGTGTTACTGCTTGCCCAACGTGGTTGGCCAGCACTGTGACACCTGTCACCCAGGAGCCTATGGCTTTCCTCAGTGTCAAGGTAGAGCCAATAATATCACTTCTGAATTTTTTGATGTGGTTGTCCTTGTCCGCCCCGTTAAACTACCAGAGTAAAACTGCACTTTTCTTCTGATTATTGATTCATCTTCCTTGCAGTTGGCTCCTGCAACCCAGCTGGTTCCGCGGAGAATGAAGTCTCACCCACAGCTGTAAGTACAGGTCTTGTGGTAGTAAGGGTCCCAGCTGTTGCTTCGGTGAATGTTTTTACATTACAAGAGCTAAGGGACACTTCAGTCAACTGTTTCTTGTTCCAGCTGAACTTTTACTGGCTTCATCAGGGCTAATTGTCTGATTCATTGAATACATGTACATTGTTTTATCAGTATCAGAAATGTTTTCAGGTGTGCATTCTGTCTCCAGTCAAGTGCATCATTAAAATCACCATATGTGTAGAACACGTAAAAGATGGAAAATGTACAGTTAAGGTCACATGTCTATCAGTTATGTAATCAAGAACTTAAGGAGAAGCAGAAGGTGACTTGGGTTTTGTATGCCTGCTTTACAATAACACCTTCTTCCCTCTTCTCAATGAGAGACTCCCTGATTCATTTCTCCTCAGGGTGTCTGTGTGTGCCGGCCATATGTTGAAGGCTCGTCCTGTGACCGATGCAAGCCCCTGTATTGGAATCTCTCTTCAGACGTGCTCTATGGATGCATGAGTAAGACGAGACTGGTCATATTTATTGCTTTGTAAACAAGGAATCATGTAGGCCAGTAGGGGGTTTCCAGGTCTTGCAGCCACCCTTAGCTGCAGTGCACATTACAATTCTGACCTTACTGTTTTGTTTTTTAGGCAGAAGGTCATTTCTTATTGTCATTTATTTTCAACAGGCTGTGATTGCAACACAGAGGGCACATTGAGCACAGTAGCAGAATGTTCCCAGGTTTGTAGTCACAGATTCCATTAATTATGCATTGATTTTAAACTGTTACTAGAACAATCATTTTTCAGTGGCCTTCTTCAGAAATATTTTTATCAAGTACTACTGTATTAAGTAGGTCCTTGAGATTAAGATTATGAAAGAAATGGTACATTTATTGGAACTTTGTCATGTACTGTAATCGGCTTTCATGTCGTATTTCTTAAACCCGTTTCACTGACATCCTGTGATTTAGTTAGTAATTCTGTCGCATACCTGACATATGTGAGGGAAGCTGCAGTCTTCTGATACCATGTTCTCCTTCCCTCCCAGAGTAAAGGCCAGTGTTTCTGCAAGCCGAATGTCTGCAGTGAGACTTGCTCCACTTGCAAAGATGGCTTCTACAATCTGGAGAGAACAAACTATTTTGGGTGTCAAGGTGGGGTATGCTGAGAAGATAAAAATAGTGTTAAGCTGTTCAGATCTGATAACACTCAGGGGTGCTAGGTGCTATTAACATTCAATGTTTTGTGTGCACTGTAGAATGATATATGAAGAACGTAATAAAAAGCTTTGATGGCTATACACCAAGAGCCGCTGAAGTCATTCCAGCATTACTTACTGCAGTTCATTAATAGATGCATTTTCTGAAGCTGGTGTGCTTTTAGTAATCTGATATCCAGTATCTGAACTGTGAGAACAGTTACAAGAGAAATGGCACAGGGGTCTGGTGAAGATGGGTGGGGTAATGGAGAAAATTATTTTTAATGGGAAATGATATCTTTGTAGTTCTTTTAACTAGGAGGTACATCTATTTACAAAGGGGGAATGCTTCTTTAAACAAGGGGAAAGGCATTCCCCTCAAGTATACCTGAACCAGCTACATCTCTGATGTTATTGCATTAGGTGTTTGATGATACAGCTGTGCTGCCCTGCATTTGACCCCACATGTTGTCTAGCCTTCCTGTCTGTGTCATCCTAAGGCTGTCAGTGTGATATCGGAGGCTCAGAGGGGCTCTCATGTGAAAAAAGAAATGGAAGGTGCAGATGTAGACCCAATATCGAAGGACCAAAATGCACTCGGTAAGTGTTCTGTAGAGCTTCAAAGTTAGGCTATGAGGAACCAGTTCTGTGCAAGAGCAACAGTAGACAGCTCAGTAGTCCTTTATGCACTTTTCCTCATATCCAGGGGCTTCAGATGCGTATTCATACTTTGTTTGCTTGCAGGCCAAAGAGTAACCACTACTTCCCTGATCTGCACCACCTGAAGTTTGAAATAGAAGATGGTACCATGCTGGATGGCAGGCCGGTTCGCTTTGGTTACAACCCGCTGGAGTTTGAGAACTTCAGCTGGAGAGGCTACGCACAGATGTCTCCCATTCAGGTAACTACTGACCACTCAGAAAAACATTTTCAATAAATAATAATATAGTTTTATCTAAGACTCGCCTTTCTTTTGTTCATTTTTAACCTTAACAGATAAGCAAGATCCTATTTGACATTTGCATATGAGAAGCTGTAGAGAAGTGAAATGTGCTGACTTTTGTGATTTATGACTTCTGTGATTCTCCTTCTGTGAAAATATCTGCAGATGTGGAGCTTTACTCTTATCTCCTTCAATCCTCTAGCATGTCTTCTTTTTTTCACTGAAAAAAGAGCATTTCTCCCTCTGCCAGGTGTGGAGCTAGGTGTAGTTGGCTTTGGCTTGCCACAGGCTCTGGTCTGTGCCGGGGTCAGGGACGCAAGTTGGGTGCAGGTTGGCGGTGGTTATGGAGGTGGTGGTGGTGGTAATAAGGCAAGGCTTTGCTTTTTTTTCCCTGTTTTGTTTCCCTCCCTCTCTCCTTCCAGCCAAAGGTGGTGGTGTCGGTGGTTGTGAACTCTCCCGACCTGTTTCACATAGTCTTTCGCTATGTCAGCCGGGGCTCCTCTCATGTCAGAGGAAGGGTTTCGGTCCTGGAGGAGGGGAAGCATGTGGTCTGCGCCAACTGTAAGTGCTGACCTCACCCCTTCGAAGCCACGTTCATTTTTTTTACTTCTTCGCTGCCTGCTCTCTTTCCTTTTTCCCTTGGGGAGAGGCTGTTTTCTTTATTAGCAAAGGTTCAGAGCAGCACATGCTCGTCCAGGGTTTCTCCTGGAGAAAGTCCTGAGGACTCTTTCCTGGCCCCAGGCCTTAATGTGGGCCCACATCTGCTGTAATTCCCCCCAAACGCCTCTGTGTCTTTCCAGAGTAAAGTGAGAGTTGCAGTTCACGTGAACGAAGCAGAGCTCTATCTCTTCCGTTTCATCCTCAGATATGTTAATACAGGAGCTGCCGTCTACTACGGTAAAATTACAGCATATCAGTCTAACAGAAAAGGTAAGGAGCAGGCGCTTTGCAAACTTCCAGCAGGGGTTTGCTGGGTTAACAATGTGTTTTTTTTTTAAATTTTGTTTACATCAGTCCATCGGTTAGAGATATGGAGGCTCAGTTCCCATTTTTTTTATGAGCGTAAGTGCAGGTGTCTCTATATTTATTTTAAATCAGAGAAAATATTCATTTATCCTCACAAGGAATATAAATCATGTGACGTCCTCTTTAAGGTCTAAAAGTGCCAATTTGTTTTTCGAATCTACATTCAACCAATGTCAAGTTTCATTTAAGCAGCATGCAGAATAATAAAAAGTCATAATTGCTTGGATATATATATAGTAAGGTATAGTGCCTTTTGTCTTAACAGATCTCAAAGCACTCCACATATAGTAAAGTCACCTGAGCGACATGCTGCAACCATTCTGTGCTGGCAGCCCAACTAACAATAGATTTAGTTTAAATGGGAGGTCCTCACAAGTACATCAATGCAAATAGGTGTGTGTGTGTTTGAGACTCCATCTACATTTCTTTGGAATTACTAGGTTAAGGGCAAGTGAATGGGTTGTGTGTTCATTCTTCAATGTGTGTGTTTGACATTAAAAGTGTCTGTATTGTCCCTGGTTTGAATGAATTGATCTTGGATACATTCAAACTATTCTGTTTAGCATTCTTGGATACTCATGGCATACTGTAAATGAAGTATAAGTTCCCGTGCTTGTTAGAACATGTACTCTAACAAAGGAATAATATATATCTATACTCGTATAATAGAGAAAAAGCAACAAATTCAATGATAAACTATCTCATACGGTCTTATATTTTTGTATAGCGAAGTCCATTTTAGCGTTTCAAAGCAGTTCTTCTCATAATTTGTAATGGTTACAGAATTCACATTTGATCATGGGTAAGTGAGGTGTCTGATCCCAATACTGATCCTTATATTTCAGTATTTATTATTTAACCCACCTACATATGAGAATCATTTTAAACTTCAAATATTATTTCTTGAGTCTGAAATAATATTCCTTTTCCCTCTGCGCAGGCTCAGATCAGTCCAAACAGATCATCTTTGCACCTAGTTCAGAGCCCTCCTTTGTGACTGTGCCTCAGAACAACTTTGTGGAACCTTTTGTCCTCAACCCTGGCACCTGGTCTGTTGTCATCGAGGCTGAGGGCATTCTGCTGGTGAGGATCTCTGCGTCATATGGCTGCCCGCTGTTTAGGCACAAGTTGTTTCAAATCTGGAACTGTTGAAATGAAACTGAAACGTCTTTTGTTTCCTATTCTATATAAGTCCGTCTCTTTTTTTTAAGAATGATACCAGACTAACAAATGGATTCTTGTTCACTTAAAAACTAGTTTTCTATTGTGGTCAAGTTTTTTTCCATGGAAGTTGCTTTGTTGTGGGAACTTCAATGGAAATTTGATATATAAATATTTCTTATTCGACCGCAATAAGGACATAACAAAAGTTCAAAACAACATGGGGCCACTTGACCCATCTAGTTCTTTTGGTAGTAAGTAGCTAATTGTCCCAAATATCACATCCAGCCATATTACTAAAAAAATCCAGGGTACTGGCTTCAACAGCCTGGCTAGAGAACTTATTCCATACTCCTACAAACCTTTGTGTAAAGAAGTAAGTTTTGAGTTAAAATATTTGTGTTAATAAATTACACAGTAATAGTGTTTAATTCATAATTTATGAAGTGGGCTGACTTCAAGAATGTGTTAAGAGTCACAATAGCGACAATAACAATCTTGTTTGAATTGCAATGTTTTCTTGGGCCTTTCTTTCAGGACTATCTGGTGCTATTGCCCAGTGCATACTATGAAGCCCCCATCCTGCAGCTTAAGGTCACAGAGCCTTGCACCTATGACCACTCTCCAGAAGCCAGCCAAAAGTAAGGCACCCATACATCCTTACAGTGAGAACAGAATTGTTGTCTACAAAGATTATTTTTTGTACAACTGTTGTAGGAAGAGTTAAGAGTAATATGGCAACGCTTTGTTTACTACATAACCATTCAAAATAAGATTCATGGTGCAGAATAGGCTTGTGCTTCCTGATTTGGAATAAGTGGTTAGAAAATGAATGGTTGGATGGATGTAGTGCAGAATGGTTATTGGTTAAATGCAACAGAAGTATAGCAGGGTAGTGTGACTGAGCTAAAAACAGTGGACAGGAATCAAGAAGTACATTATTGGTGACAAATAGAGGTAACTTAACCAAGAGGGTTTTAACATAGAATGGGAGCAGGACTCCCAGGTGCAGTCTGAAGGGATCAGATTTAAGTAACCTAAAGATGATGAGGAATGGAGACGTCCTGGTGTGCACAAGCTGCTGGGATCTTCCTAAGAGGAGCTGATGAAGATGATGAGTGGGACAGACATTAGCAAGAAGCCATTAGCAACCTTTATCTGGAGGACTGGATAGGAGCAGCATGAGGTCGAAGTCAAACTGGTCTTGATTTGTCTGCTTGAGTGAGTGTGCATTTTCAGCACCACCTCATGCATTAGCACAGCTGCAAAGCTTGTCCTCACTGTGTGCCTCATTGCATTTCACAATGTGGCAAGATGCAGATGGTGCCTCTAAATTCAGCCGTTCTGCTCTCCTCTCATCACAGCTGCCTGCTCTACAAGTATCTGTCCCTGGATGGGTTTCCCTCAGCCCCAGGCAGGGATGCCACCTGCAGATTTGACAATCACCTGCCCAGGCCCTGCCAGACGGAGAAGATCACTCCTCACCACCCCTCCATGGCCATCTGCAGTGGAAACGACGTGAGTGTCCATGTTGCACACCACACCCCATTCTTTTGAGATGGGCTGCAACAAAACCTCTATTCTATAGCAGACATGGATAAACCATCAACCATTTTAGTATCCTGTGGACAGCTGTAGTAGTGTGCCTATTGATTCTCATTTCCATTTTATACCCAGAAGAGATTTAAGGTTCAGTGCCTATGGCTGTGGTTCTCAGGTGACCCACACATCTGATGGTTTTCATGCCATCATTTGATAACTGAAGCGTTTCTTGATGTTGTTTCATTGGAAAATTTTGCATTTGGTTTCAAGTCACAAGTTTGGGATTTCATTTCACTCACAAAATACAATGGTTACAGCTGCAACATGTTTAAGAGCTGGAAACAAACAGTTATATATAGCTATATACAGCTATGAAAACCTGTAAATTATTTTAAAAGATGGAAAATAGGAAAGGAGAAGGGTAACCTTGCTCTTTGTTGTTAATTTAATTTGTCTCGGTGAAAAGGGCATTTGACTCCAACCCCAACAAGGGAGAGCCCTAATCCAATTTATCATACAGGTTACTGAAATCACCATTTTCCAAGGACTGGGAACAGTTGTACATTATTGATTGATTGAGAGAACACGTAATTGTATCAATTAAGGGAACTCTGTGTTTTGAGGACTGAAGGGGTTTCTGAATTTTGCTCCAAATGATCTTATTTGATAATGAATGACAATTAAGTCATTCCATCTCATCTGAAATTTTTCATTTGATGGTCGCCTATAAAACATGCTGATCTTGGTATTGCAAGTCCCTTATATTACCCTTTGTACTGTAGCTCATTTACAGTACGTGATAATATCATTTTTTCTGATGTCATTTGTGGAACTGTGAATATCTTCCCTCTTACTCCCTGCCTTGTAGCTCAACGTGCAGTTCCGGATCCCAGTTCCCAGGCCAGGCACCTATGGCCTGGTGCTGGAGTATGTGAACGAGGATGAGTCTCTGCAGACGCTGACTGTGTCTGTGAACTCGCCAGGGGTGCAGACACAAGTGGAGATCATCAAACTGTACCACTGCAAGTACAGGTGAGGCCAGGACAAAGAGTGTGCACATTGGCTCAGACTGCAGTCTGTTGAAGTTCTCCGGTCCTGACTAAAGGGTATAGATGATACGCAAAACTATTTCTTTGGGAGGCAGCATATATTAAAAGACCTAGAGCTGGTCTGTATTAGATCTGGCAATGGCACACATTTCTTGTGAACTATCCTGATTCCATCAAATATCATATGAAATCCAATGCAGATGTTTTTACCTTTATTAATGACATTTAGACACCTTAATAGCAAACCCACATTTCTAAAAATGGGAATCGTGTCATGATGTTTTTTTTTCCATACTCCTTTAGCTTCATGTGCCGGGTTGTCTCCACTGACAGCAAGAATCGAGTTGGTATCTTTTCCTTGACAACAGAGGCAGATGTGCAGTTTATTGCAGACAGAGCCAACTTCTTCCTGGTGAGTCTGGCTAACTTTTAAATAGTGTTTGATCAATGTAGTAAGCTTGCCATGATGTACCACATACATAGCAAGATTTATTCCACTTTTTAAGTCCAAATTAGATGCATGAATATATCATCAAAAAGGTTCTTATCATTGGTACGACACATAGCTTTGTGTCAGTGTTCCACTTCCTTACATAAGGTGTTCCAATATGAACATTCTCCTCTCTTTTAAGAAGTCCTCATTCCATGAATTATTCATTGTAGAATCTATGAAGCTCAAGCACAGAATACACACAGCTGCAGACGGGTATCCTTGTGTGAACATCCTCTTGCTCTCTAACACAAGATCTGTCCTCTGTCCTCATTTCCATGTATCTCCAGCACAAGATTTATCTCATCCCTCATGAGCAGTTCACTATGGAGTACGTGGAGCCCCGTGTGCACTGCATCAGCACGCATGGGACATTCTCACCAGCCAAGTACGCTGCCTTAATAATTGAAATTTCTGTCCTTTATGAATTTTGATTTGTTATCGACAGTGAAAGGAAGTTTGGCACCATCTGCTAGCTTTTGTGGGCTGCTTCCTTTCCTGTTGAGATGTGCTTTATAAGAACTGTTCCTCTCCTTTCCCAGCCTTGCCTGTGTCCCATCCCGATTCCAGACTCCCTCCCAGTCCATCATGCTAAGGGAAGGCCAAGCTTCTTCCGTCCCAGACTCCCTGCCCTTCTTCCACGAGTCGCAGGTCATCCCTGCGGAAAGACCCGGCTGGGCGGAGCGCTCTGAGGATCGGCTGCCCACTGCAGCAGACAACTCTGAGCACATCCGCCTGGACCGTTCCCAGGTACAGGAGCAGGAACGCCCAGCAGAGCTGGGAAAGAGAACAGACTGTAGGTCTTAGCATCCCTTGCAAGCTTCCACAGGCAGAGCGATTCCATTTCAACTCTGGATTTGAAAGCTGAAATTGTGTATCACAGTAAACTGACAGAATTTATCTGAATTGAGACAGTTTAATTTATTTGACACTAAAATAAAGAATTAAAGTCTGACAATAGTGGAAAACTGATTGGTGCATCTTGTGAGAAAATAATCTGGTTCATGTTGCACTTCTTGTATTGTAAAAAACAGTCTCGTTAGGAAATATGAGCATATTTGTTTTGACAGTCCTCTTACAGTCAGAGAAACACGTTTTGAGAAAACAATAAGCTTATGCTGCCTTGTGGGAGGAATCTAAGTCAGTTTTTGCGTTTGGCTGCTCTCCCCTGCAGAACGCTGTGGTTTATTCCACCCGTGTTCAGACTCTGGGCCGCTATGTCTTCATTCTTCACTATCACCAGCCAGACCATCCCACCTTCGCGGTCCAGGTCTTCCTCAACGCCGGCCGGGTCTGGCAGGGTAAGGCCAAGCTAGAGAGGATGATGGGACCGTGGCATGTCCAAGCACCGTGATTTATATTGTGCTGGGATGCCAACGGATTGGCAACGGACATCTCTGCTTCCCCTGGGCACTTCCATTACACTAGCTGACCTCTCATTGTGTGCAGTGCTTAAGTGTTCCTTTTCAAATGTCAAAGCTCAGTTTGGCATGTTTTAAAAACCTGCTTAAGTTCTATCTGGACTGCCTGGACTGCTGACCTTTTTGAGACGTGTTCACAGTACCTTCTGTGTAACATTACTGAAGCTGGTCAACAGTTAGGACTTGATTCTAAAAGGGCTGGTTGTTGTTGTTGCACAACCACAAAAGAAGTTGGAACTTAAATGGCACAAGGATGTTTAGACATCAGTGGGGATATTAAAAAAGCAGGCCTTAAATCCTTCACTGTTCACCAGAGTGGGGTCAATACACGAAACAGTGTTGAAAAAGACTGTTATTTAGCTCTGCAAGGACATACTGATTGATTTTACTTCTCAAGTGAAAACTGACATCTTACATTTTCCCTCATGTAGTTATATAGAACTAGGTCATTTCCTTCCCTTGTGCTCCGAGCTGGTTTTCTGTGGTTCCCTTTGCCTGAGGTAACCAGTTTTTCTGTTCCTCATGCCAGGCTTTGCCAATGCTACATTCTGCCCACATGGCTACGGCTGTCGCAGTACCCTGAGCTCGGAAAATAAAATCATCCTGGATGTGACGGACAATGATGTGTTTCTAACCATCCGTGTGCCTGATGGAAGAACTCTGTGGATGGTAAGGGTCAAGGAGAAATCAGGTGGTCTCAATCGAAGTGTGACTCCAGTTCTGTGGTGTTCTCTTCGGTCTGTGTGTTCACACTATGCAGGACAATTGCTTGGAGTTGTGTGTATTTGTACTTATTTTGTGCTTTTATTAGGGTTTCAAATCTACAGTGCATTATTTCATTCTCTTTCTTTTGCTTAGGCCACTTTTTTGTTTAACAATGACTCTGTGGTTATTGCCTACTTGAGTAATACATATGTAAAGCTTTTCTACATATGTATATTCAGATATAAAGCTTTATGTATAGGATATTAGTGAATGAAAGAAAGAAAATTGTTGAAAGCTGCTCACTTGTTCACCTGACGAATGCTGCTACAGCCCCTTCTGATCGGTATTTGATTCTCTGCTATTTATAGAGTGTTGTTTTATTGAGATGATTACCAATAAGTCTGCTTTTTTAGGATTACGTTCTGGTTGTCCCCGAAGGAAGCTACAACCCTAGCTACCTCACAGAGGAACCCCTGGACAAATCATACGACTTCATCAGTAATTGTGGTTTGGACAGTTTTTACATCAAGTAAGAATTTTATGATATCACATAGCGGGCATCAGAACGCAAAATGTAAACTTTTGTTTTCATCGGAGTGAATAGAAATAAAAAAGGTAAAAAAAAAGTCACTCTTAGCTTGGCTGTAAAATGGTTAAGCATGAGGCGTTAAAACCTCAGCATGTCTTTCTCTACGGCAAACAAGCAAAAAAATGAGAACGGACACTGATTTCTTTTGAGGTTGTGATTCATTTGGCAGCTCTGGAAGTTGAGGCCCGGTTTGTGTTCATTTTGACCTCAGACGCCCTGAGTTTGTGACTCTTTTCCTTCCTGTCGCTGCGCAGCCCCACGGCGTCCTCTCCCTTCTGCAAGAACTCGGCCGTTTCTCTGTCGGCGTTCTTCAACAGCGGCGCCCAGCCCTGCGGCTGCCACGAGGCGGGGGCGGAGGCCGCCGCGTGCGAGCCCTTCGGCGGGCAGTGCCGCTGCCGGCCCAGCGTCATCGGGAGGGACTGCTCGCGGTGCGCCACGGGCCACTGGGGCTTCCCCAACTGTCGACGTGAGTGCTGGGGGGTTTCGGGGCAGCTGGGCAGCGGAGGTGGGGGTAGTGCCCACCAGAGGTGAATGTGTGTCAGGGGAGAAATTTTCAGTGCTGTGGGTGGTGTATGTCTGGCACAGTAGAGGGGGGGTTAGCATTGCATTGCTCTGCAGTCCTGTCTGTGATTCTGGCCAAGGACATTTTCTGTGCCGTGTTTTACTGTGGGTGTTCGAGTGTTTTTCCACAGCCCAGGGACATGCAGCGCACCTTAAATTACTTCCTGTTAATCTCGTCCGGGATGTAGTCCTGTACCTGGCGGTTTACAACACAGCTCTCCATAACCCTCCTCTGAACAATCTAGACGTTACTGAGGATGGAGGGCTGGATGGGTGAATCTAATTTCAGCTACATATTAAACAAGTTGCACTGCCTGTAGCTTTGTTTGTTCTGCACAGAAATAATACACTAAACCAGAAAAAAAACAGTTTTTTGAAAAAGCCTTCTGTCCACTGAAATGTATGACCCATACCCGTAATTTCCCTACAGCATGAACTATTTTTTAATTATACCATCATTTCGAATAAAAATAAAAGTGAAAGATTCTTCCGTTTAAGAGACAAACGAGTCGAGACGCTGTTTTCGACGTTCTGGTTCCGTTGCTCTGGTAACCGCCTCCTTCCTGCCTCCTCAGCGTGCCAGTGCGGGACGCGGCTGTGTGACGAGGTGACGGGAGAGTGCATCTGCCCGCCGCGCACCATCGTGCCGGAGTGCATCGTCTGTCAGCCGCAGACGTTCGGCTGCCACCCGCTCGTCGGGTGCGAGGAGTGCAACTGCTCCCGGCCTGGCATTTCCGGGCTCACTGACGACGGCTGCGACCGGGAGAGCGGGCAGTGCAGGTAACCTAGCAACAGGAGAGCAAGGCACTATGGGATACAGAGCATGACAGGAGCGTTTGATGTGTTCTGATTCACAATTTCCAGATCTTGGGCTGCCATTCCAGAGACATTCCGGCCACGAAATCTTGTTTACTTAAAGTATCCCGTGACTGTGATGTTTATTCTGTTTTGTTTACTGTCACCATGACTCAAAGAGAATTACAAAGAACATTTAATACAGCAGGTTTAACATCTTTTTCCCAGGGTCATGATTTTTTGAAAATCTCTTTTCCCACAGTACTTTGGTACCTAAATCAAATCTTAATGTGACCTTCAGGACTACTAGTTTTGACCTTATGTCTAGCAGGCTGTTCATATTTATTTTCTGCCTTCCTTTATAATCTTATTTTTTACAGTAATATCAAAGTGACAGTGTTTGGGATCGGAAAAGCTCAAACAGTTGTCGTGCATTTGAGTGACTCTGTAAGCTTCAGATTTGACACGAAGCACAATTCACTAAATTTAGCATTGTGGGACACCCAAGAGTGATCCATTTGTCCTGATAACACCTCTTAGGTTTCCTGTTTGTAAGCATTCTGCGCTCATTTCTTTTTGCAAAAAGAAAGATAGCGAACTGGTTCTAGCTGTCTTGTTTCAGATGGATCTGTGGAGATGTTGCACTGTGGGAACAGTCGAAGCTTGCGCGTGACTCCCACTGGAGCTTGACATTTCTATAGCTAATTGTGGTGCATTTCAGTGACCTTGAAGTGTTGGGGTTAAAGAAACATATACTTAGCAATCTGACAGGAATGCTGGTCTCTTTCAATGCTTTGACTACGGAGGGAAATGATGAAAGAGCACTGCGGCCCAGAGCTGATGCTGTTTGAGAGGCGGGTAGGACGTATCGGTGAGGGGAATGGGGAATGAAGAGCAGGGTGTCTTTTGTCCTCTCTTCCCTGTGGTCACTCAGCAGGGAGGAATCTAGCGGTTGGGTGCCACATTCTTCCCCTTGCATTTCTAATCTCCCAAGAATTTGTCTAGACATGAAGAGGTAGTAAAGGTTCTGTCAGAAACACTGCGAGGGTTTAAAGGCCAGAAACTTTACATCTGCTCCAGATGCCTGCACTGCATTACAGCAGTTATTCGGGGGCATGTCATTGTGATGGGTGAAAGAAAGAACTGTGTTTATTTTTCCCTTTTTCAATGTTTTTTGATTAGAGTTCAGTTTTGTGTGGTTTTGAAAACCATGCTCTGGAAGCCCGTTACCAAATAAGTTTTAAAACTACCAAGCTTTTCTGCAAAATTGATTTGTAGCACTGTGAACCAGGATCAGTATTCTTATCTTCATGTAACATAACCTCTTTTACATTTTAATCTGTGAACTAATTTAGGAATTCTTCAACTTACCTTTTTACTGTTTTTTCTAGGTACCTCAAAAATAATTTTCTTCAGAAAATTACATAATTACATAATTGGCTTTTAACATCTCAAGTTACTTCAGTCTTCAGCTAATTCTATTTTCAGTTTTGTTTTCCACAGATACTACTATTGAATGTGTGAAGTATTAAGTAGCTACAGTACAAGTTCTCTTTGGTTAATCTTTCATATACTGTATATATTTTTTTACTTAGGTGCAAGACAAACATTATTGGGCGCCGGTGTGACCACTGTGCCCCTGGTTTCTATGGTTACCCCAACTGCAGACCTTGTGACTGCAGTGAAGCTGGCACGGAGTCAGGAATCTGTGACTCTGTCACCGGGCAGTGCCTGTGCAAGGTGAGAGCTTTTTATTGTCTTTTCCCACAGGTACTGGGCCTGTGTATCCCAGCATTTACTGCACTGAGGAGGACATAGTCAATAACAGCTTCTTTGCCCTCTCGGTTTCCCGAGAGACTCTGGTTGTTTGTTCTTTGTTTTCTTTGTCTTTGTTGCTTCTTTTCCTCTGACTTTAAGTGGTAAATAATGAAAAGTTTACACTGGTGACGAGAGTGGAACATCTGGCTGAAACTACTGTTTTCCAGCCCTCCATTTCTGTGTACGTTCCTTTTATTGTTTTTTAAAGGTACCATTTAGAACAATAAAGCATAAAATTACATATTTTTAGTAAGAAACTACTTCTAGTGATAGTTCTGCTGCATTTATGTGCTCCCACAAATCATTTTGCAAAAACAAATGTTGCATATTTTTGGTTCACAAAAATGCATTCCATTTCTTAATTTAGGACAGATTAGTACTCACTTTAATGCACTTGACCAAATTCAGCAGCAGGGTACCTGCTGGAGTGTTTGAGAAAATATATTAAGCTACTGTTTAATAAAGTTGTAAAGACAACTGAAAATATTTTAAAAACCAATAGAACCCTTAACCTGAACATTCAAAAAATACAGCATGTAAAAAAGTCTATACTGAAACTAACATTAACAGACAGATTAAGCCTGACTTTTAGTACAACTATATAGACACCTTACACAAATAAGAAAAGGCAGGTCCAGCCTGCTCAAGTCCTGTGCTGTCTTTGCCCCCCCCAGGAGAACGTGGAAGGTGTGAGGTGTGACCAGTGTCGAGTGGGCACCTTCCTCCTGGACCCCAGCAACCCCAAGGGCTGCACCAGCTGCTTCTGCTTTGGCGCCACGGATCGCTGCCGCAGTTCCGAGAAGCGCCGCGTCGAGGTGCCTACCGTCCGACTGCCGAGAAACACAAAAAAAGAGGAATAAGACTCAGATCGCCAAAGCTTTTAGTTTGTTTTAAAAACAAAATCTAGGACTAGGCAAACACCTCTGTCGTGTGCTTGAAAGCATGTCCTTCCACCATGAAATGAAGAGCCCAGTGCGTTATGGCAGCGTGTGTGTTTTGTCAGCTGGGTCTTGGAATTGGCCCCATCAAATTAAGCTTTGTTAATCGTAAAGGCAGGCTGTCAATTTTTGTTCTGTACTAAAAATGGGAAATTTAGGGAAACTGACATGAAATCTAGGTTTGTGAAAGTCCTTCATGAAATGGCTGTTTCTATACCATTAAATGACTTGAGAGTTTAACTTTCACATAATGTGGGGCTACTGTATTTAGTCATAGTTCGATCCCCAAAGCTATATATACAGCTAGATGACTGAAATAATCAGGTTAGCCTGCAGTACCTTGCTCAAGCATAAGGAAATTAATGTACACCTGCCTTCCAGAAATGATCCACTTTTTCTATGTTCTGTACTGGAGCAATATAACTATATATGTATGACACAGCATGTGGTAGTTCTGCTGGAGATGATCCTCAGGATGTGGAATTTTTAATTTGAAGATGGTGTGCAATGACTTCACTGAGTGCAGGAAACAGTCAAATTAAGCATCATCAGTAACTGGTGTACCAATGAAGAATATTATTATTATTAAATATTAATTAAAATGAATTATGGCAAGGCAGCTATCCAATAATATTGCTTGTTGATGGTCCCCAGGAAATCTTGGAATAAGACCTAAAAATGTTTACACTAGCAAATACACCATCATTACGGGAATATGGCCTTTTCTATTGAGGAACAGGCATTTAGTGTTGTTCTGAGGAAAGTTTGCATTTCAAAGCTATTGTGGGAGATAATTTCGGTCCTGTCTATTATGTGAGATGAGTATTAACCTGCATTGAGAATGATTTAAATATACAGTAACAGAATAAGCAATAGAAAGTAATTTGAGTTGCTGAGGGACTTAGTTTCTATGCTCTAATCCTGTTTCCTTTGCAGCTGATGGATATGAATGGCTGGATTCTTCTGAGCGGAGAACGCCAGGAGGTTCCCATCTCCACACACCTGGAGCGCAGCCTGGTGGAGGCGGACCTGCAGGACGTGCCTGATGTCTATCAGGAGCTTCACTGGCATGCTCCACACAGCTACCTGGGAGATAAGGTAGGTAGGCAGGAAGGATTGGAGTGTGGGAGCGATGCTTATCTCACTCCTCACCGAGACTGGAGCAGAGAGATAAGTAGGGACATCAAATACAGCAGAGCGGGGATGATTTTCGGTTCTGTCTGAAATGCTAAGGAATGTTTTCATATCTGCCAGACCTGCTTCGTTTTTGAATACCGTTTGTATTGTTTTACAAAAAACATGTCCGCCTGTAGAGAATCAAAATCAGCAGAGTTCCTTTTTAGACAGTTGTGCTTTTCCAGTTCGCTTTCTTTAGCTTTATCCTTAGCTGTGTTATCCTTTCACAGGGGTTCATTTGTTAGCCTATAAAAAAATAAAAAGGGTGACAAACTAGAGGAGGCCCTTCAGATCATCTATCTTCCTTGGTTGCCAGTAGCTACCCTGCACTGAGACTGACTGCTGATCGTGAATCTGTCTCCTGCAGGTTTCCTCCTACGGAGGGTTTTTGCATTACAGGCTGCTCTCCCAGACTCAGCCCACCAGGGGGGATGGGCTGTCTCTTCCCGCTGAAGCTGCGCGGCCTGATGTCATCCTGAAGGTACCCATACCTCTGCTAAAATTTCTCAGTGTTCACCCACTGTAAGGGTACGGAGTGCCATTAACTGCAGCCTGTTCATACCAGCTGACAGCATCGATGAAATCTCAATAGCACGCTCACACAGTGGCGCGTGGTATTCACAAAGGATGTGCATGATTTGCCCTCTAGGGGAACCAGATGACATTGGTGTACCTGGAGAAAGAGTATGCTGCTCCTTGGATGCCTCACGAAGGGCGCGTCCACCTGGTTGAGGTAAGACGTCACCCCATTGCACGGAGCGTGGAGCGAACAGCCCTCCTGCGTGCGTCAGCGAGCCTGTTGAGAACCATCGGCATCATAAACATAAGACAGGCAGCCAATGAAAAGAGGCAGTTCGGCCCTTCTAGTTTGTTTGCTAGTAGCGTATTGACCCAAGAATCTGATCCAGTTGAAAAAAGCCAAGGTATCAACCACATGGCTGGGTAGCTTGTCACGTACTCCCGCAACCCCTTGTGTGAAGTGCCGCCTGTACTTCCACATAGTGTGGACGTGCTCTCTGGCTGGTGTTTCAGGGTGGATTCTGAAGACGTTCACTGGGCTGTTTGTCAGTGCCTCTGAGGTTGCTGTGTTGCAGGATCAGTGCAGAGTCGGCTTCCCAAGCGTGGGCGGAGGGGAGGGGGGGCTGCAGACTTGGCGTGGCCTGAACCTGACCGTGTTTGTTCTCCCCAGGGGAGCTTCCGCCACGCTCGGACGGGCAACGCGGTCTCGCGGGAGGAGCTGATGATGGTGCTGGTGGGGCTGGAGGGGCTGCAGATCCGGGCGCTGCACTCCCAGTCCTCCCTGGTGGTGTCTCTGCAGCGGGTCGTGCTGGAGCAGGCCTCGCACTCGCCCACAGGAACCCCGGCCAGCAACGTGGAGATCTGCTTGTGCCCGGCCAGCTATCACGGAGACTCCTGTCAGGTACCTGCCTGTGTGCAGCCAGCGCAGCCAGCGCAGTCAGTGCAGGGGTGCTTGTACTCTGGCTCTGCTGACATGCATTTGACCTGCAATAACTTCCACAGTTATCTGGATGTAGACTGTAGGTGATACTGTATGTCCACCAGGATGTATCTAGAAAATGAGTTAAGCAGTAAAATCTATTGAGTGCATTGACTTACTCAGATCAATTTGATTATATTTCTGGTACTCTGTAGTATTTTCTGAAAAGTGAACTCATTCAAAGGATTCTTGAATGATTTTATGCTCTTTTAAGGTCCTTTCAGAGTACCTATAACTAAAGACATCTTAAAATTGCCACATGCTTCTAAAGGTTTCTGAACTATTTAACATGTTAAACTGATGAGTGAACCTTTGAGCGTAAAACCCACAGTTCATTGAATTCACGATCCAGTGCTGCGAGTTGAACACTGCCTGTCCCCTCTCTACAGGAGTGTGCTCCAGGTTATTATCGGGACACCAAAGGGCTTTTCCTTGGGAAGTGTGTTCCCTGCAACTGTAATGGCCACTCGGACCAGTGCCTGCATGGCTCAGGAACCTGTGTAGTAAGTTTCATTGCAACGGATTATCTGCTGGATATTGTTTGTGTAGCACAACAGGGAATATTTTAATTGTGTGAGAACCTGTCTAGTCTGGGAACTGGCCACGAAATAAGCTATAAAGAAACACTAGGCAATTGCATTTTTGTATAAAAAGAGTAGTGCAAAAAGTCGTTCACGTGGTTCTGTGATCTCCGACATCTGGTTGCAGGAACATTTCTATCAAGAATCCAGGGCCCTGGCTGGAAGAGTAGGGGTTTAACCCCTGTGTCCTGGCTAAATGCCACTCTGGGCTGGACAATCTGGCCAACGTTCTTTGGTGAAGCAATTTACCATTTCTCCCCTGATCTGTCGTGTAGTGAGGCTGCTGGTGCAGAATGGTGCTGCATTTCAGTGGAGGGATGAAGCGAATCCCCTCATGTATGTGAAAATCTTTGGAATAAAACCACTATATATACGCAAATAATAATGATTATGTCTTATCACGTTCTTGTGACGCAGGTAAGATACTGTTAATGTACAAGGAATGAGAATGGAATTGATGGTTTTGTAGATACTTCAGATTTCAGAATGTGCCACCTGTTGTTCATTTTTCTCTTGTGCAGTGCCTTGAACACCTCTGCATTAATATACCTCCTCTCGGTTTTTGGTTTTTATTAGCGTCGCTATACAGTGTGTCCGCAGTCTCACAGCCACAGTGTACTTCTCACACGTGCGACAACGGCTTTCCCTGCTGTGCATCTGCTTCCATTTCCTCAGCCCTGGAACGCTGGGTTGTTTGTTACTCTAGATCAGACATGGTGCTGTTTTTGATTTAGAGAGAGAGATACTTAGTGCAAGCTACAGGCAAAATTGGCAACAGTTTTGGTTATTGTTGTTGTAATAACCAGAATAACCTAGTGCTCTTTCCAGTGCACTACAATGCTGTGAACGGGACCTTTCTTTCACATTGTCAGAACTGCCAGCACAACACCGAGGGAGACCACTGTGAGAAGTGTAAGACTGGTTTCCTTGGCAACTCCACCAATGGACAGTCCCAGATCTGTACCGGCTGCCCCTGCCCGCTGCAGGTGACCTCCAACAAGTGAGTTCCACAGGCTTGTTTTTCCTTGAACAGTTGAATTGCATTGAGACCCAATGTTTTTTTTCTCCATTTGGCAGGGCTATTGATTTGTATCTGGGTGGTACACTTCACTTACTAGTCCAGAGTTTTCTCTTCATTTTCTGACGTGGTTGAAATTTAAGCGTTACTTAAAGAAGACCACTTTTTTTCACCAGAGCTTATTGGAATGATTCAATGTGCTGGGTCAAGCTGACTGAATGCTAAAAACCTTTTTTTCTTCCTTTTGCATCAGTTTTGCAATTGGGTGCGTCGAGAGAACGAGCAGGATGCAGTGTCTGTGCATGCCAGGATATGCTGGCTCAAAGTGCGAAAGGTGAGTGAGTTACTTTTTCCATTCCTGTCTGTAGCTGTTGCTAAAAGTAAAAGTGCAGCAAATTGCACAGCCCACAGTGGTTCGCTTCAGGAATAAGCTCGTGTGTCTGTACTTCCTTAGGTGTGCTCCTGGTTTCTATGGCAACCCCATGGTGATTGGCAGCTCGTGCCGTCCTTGCCAGTGCAACGACAACACCGATCCCAACATGCTTTTCAGCGACTGTGACTCGCTCACAGGGGTCTGCCATGGCTGCATGCACAACACCGCTGGCCCTCACTGCGAGATCTGTGCGCCGGGATACTTTGGGGATGCTGTGGTGGCCAAGAACTGCACCAGTACGTCTGACTTCGTTCTTCGCCCAGTATTTTCCTGATCTGTGTGTTTTAAAGCTTTGTGTTTTCAACAGTGAACTTCCCAGGATCAATCCTCGGTGCCATTTTGTTAAGGTCAGGTTGCCCAGATCTCCTCTGTGTAGGATCTGTCGGAAAATAAGGTTTTAAAACTTTAACCTGTAAATTATGCTTGACTGTACTATAGCTGTGACCTTAAGCTGTGGAATTTGAACATTTTCTGGATTGTTTTCTCAGAGTGCGACTGTTCGCCCTGTGGCACATCGTCCTGCGACTCTCACACCGGACAATGCCACTGCAAGCCTGGCGTGACCGGTCCCCTATGTGACCGCTGTGAGGTAGTGTCACCCTCAATTACATATCCACAATAAATGAATATTATTTATCTGGCCCGTGTTCAATATTCAGTGATAACCCAATATTATTCTGTGGTAACTGACATTACTGTCAGTTGAAACAAAGGTTCTAAAAATGTTGCTTCTGTCACCTCCTCTTTAGTCGTTTGTTCTGGACACTTGACATATCCTGATGGCTGCTTAGGTTTTGTCATGACAGTCTGTGTTTTTCCTTCACAATGGCCGTGTCTTCCCCTCCAGGAGAGTTTCTATGGCTACGAGTCCTGCGCAGGGTGCCGGCGGTGTGACTGCAGTGCCGCCGCCGCCCTCACCCAGGGCTGTAACCCTCAGAGCGGAGAGTGCTCCTGCCAGCCGGGGGTGAACGGGCCCCAGTGTCTGCAGTGCGCCCCTGGCTTCTGGGACTACAAGCCCAGCGGCTGCAAGAGTAAGTGTTCTGTTCCACAGAGGCCTTGAGCTGGCAGTACTGAGTCAGGCGTGAAGCTCCCAACGAACGGCACGTTCTAAGTAAATGAAATCACTTTGAAGAATTGTTGAATGTTTTCCCCAGAAGTAGAAGAATATGTGTTTGATGGGTTCATTTCATCTGCAAGAAAATGGATATGAACATGGATATTCTTGCTAGCAATAATTCCTTCAATTAGTGTAGCACCTTTTTATCATGAAGGGTGTCTGCATGCTTCATATCTAGGACGGGGAGTTTTATTCACTTACTGAAGTGCAGACCCACTTAGGTGATGCATGACAGCCATTCTGTGCCAGAGAATCCAATGGGAAATTTAGCCAGGACACTCGTGACAGCTCTTCCTATGAGATCTTTCTTGACCGTGTGGTTAGGGCTTCAGTAACATCTCCTGCAAAGGAGTCTCTTTCCCACCGTAGTGTCCCCTGGACTCTCTGGTACAGAGATGGCTAGTCTGCCACACCACTTACAGTACAGCAGCAGCCTGAGAAGGTCTCCCATCCCAGTACTGACTGGGCCCAGCTTGACTTAGCTTCTCACATCTGCAAATGTGATTACATATTCAGACTTAATTTTTTGGAGTTTTAGATTTGAATTGGAAGTAGTTCCTAGTTTTAAAAATGAGATGAATGATGCAACGCTTAATGCGCTTCGACCCGAAATGTCACGCCCTGCTGTGTGAGAGAACTAGCTGACAGTCTGTGTTCCCCTTCCGTTCCAGAATGCCACTGTAAAGGTGGGTCATGTGATCCCCGCACAGGAGAATGCAGGTGTAGCAATGGGCTGACCGGAAAGCAGTGCGACACCTGCGCTGAGAGTTACCACATCCCTGTGGTCAACGGAGCTGACTCCCTGCAGTGTCAGCGTGAGTAGGCAGCTAACAAACTGTGGTGCTCGCTTGTTAGGAAACACGGCTTTATAGTCTTTATAGTCTAATGAGGAAATAATCACAGGGAGAGGTGATTCTTACTGTCCCTGTCTTCTCCATCGTAATGGAGCTACATTTTTTAAATATACAAGTCTGTGAAATTCTCTTCTTGTGTTCTTAACAGACCTATGATAATCTATAATCACACATCAATACAATGGTTTACAGAACTGCAATATTTCAGTACATGCACTGGTAAATCTAATTCATTTCTTAAACATTCTAACCTGCAATGCTGGGAAAGGATATCACCAGTGCAGGTATGAGCACTAAAAAATGTTGGATTGATTACTGGTTTATTAAATGCATTGTACTGTATATAATCTTTTAAGATATATGCTTTTTTTGTCGGTGCTGTCTCTTCTCCATTTGAGTGCTTAGTCAACCCAGCAACTGACCATAATGATTTTCCAGTGAAAGAGCTAATTTAATTACAATAGATAGTATCTTCACAATCCAGAATTTCCACAGCTCTAAAATGTTTTAAGAATGCCTAAACAGAGTGGCTCATGGTCTTGTGTTTTTAACGCTATGTGTTGGGTGTTCGTTGGCCAGCCTGTGACAGCTGCGTGATCGTGCTGTTGGAAGACCTGGACAAAATGACTGGCCTGTTCCTGACCATCAGGGGTCAGCTGACCAACCTCAACGCCAGTTCCATTGCCTGGACTCGCCTGCAGGCGCTGAACGACTCCGTTAACAATGTGACTGTGAGTACAGACCCAGGGAGGAGGCCTGGCAGGCCACACCATAGCACTGGATCTTAATAGTTCTAAGATTTCAATTCCTTCATCATAGGAGAAGCTAATTTCTTCAAACTTCAAGTCTACTTCAAACTTGTCAGTTCATTGAAATTTCTCGTTGGGACAAAATAACCAGGCTAATCAGATATAGTTTTTATCTTTAGTTATTATTTACAAACATCCACTTTGTAGACATAGGCAATAGTTTTGAGTTATGAACCACTTATTCGCTTCTCATTTTAGTGTCTAATTAATAGGTGTTTTCAACTATGGTAAGATTTTAAAAATATAATTTTTTGTCCAGTAGATCCTAGGATAAGAATATCCTAAAAAGCAGTTCTTTTTATATATTTGTTTCCATGTCCTTCCAACCAGAATTACCTCTTTGACTATAACAACTCATTGGATAGCCACAAGATGAAGGCAGATGAGCTGGAGAATGAGGCCATGAATCTCTCTGCAGATCTGGATGTTCTGAAGGATAAGGTAAGGTTTGTCCATTCTCAGGTTGGTTGTCATTGATATTTTTGTTATTATACTACAGCTACATCTTCTTCTGATTCTAGAAATATGCACAAATGCTCTATATTAGTCTTTATTTGTGAAACTGGCGTGGTCGGTGTGTCGGCGTGTTGATTAGAGATACTGCCTCACAGCTCCTGCTCAGGATCTTAGGTTACTTTCCAGTTTGGGACTTGTATATATGTTGAGTTTGCTGGTTCTCTCCACAGGTCTCACATAGGTTTTCTCTGGGTGTTCCAGCTTTCTCCCATGTCCGGAAGACATTTAGGTTCGGTTTTACTGGCTACTATAAATGGTGGCATTTCTAGTACAAACAGTACTGTCTAGGGAACTACAGAACGGAGAATCAGCTTAGATCAATGGTCCAAATAACCTTCTGGTCTCATTTGAAGTTCTGAAGTGAATCTTCTTGTGATGTCTTTGTTTCTGTATCGCAGGCGACAGAGACAAGCAGGAAAGCTGAGACAATGGAAGAGGATGTGGCACTAACACACAAGAGAGCTGAGGAACTACTGAATCAGACCCGGGGAACCCTGAGAAACATTGAAGGTGTGCTCAGCTGAAAAATAAGCTCCTTACAGTAATGTATTGATGCACAAGAAAGAATTACCACATTGATTGCTTTTGTAAATATTAACTCCTTGCTTATTCTCTCACTTTTGCCCTGGCTGTACAGATCTTATAAGGCAGGCAAACAGAACTGCGCTGAATGACAGCAGCAGTGAATCGGCAGAGGGGCTCAGCAGGAAGTTGGCAGAGGTGGAGGAGATGCTGAGGGAGATGAGGGACAGAGTTTTCTCCATTCAGACGGAAAAGGCAGGGAAAGAACTAAAAGAAGCCAAGAACTGTGAGTCGCCCTTGTTTCTTTGATCCACATACTGTAGCATTCGGTTCACGAAGGATTTAATCTTTTTTATTTCGGATTCCAAGAAAGGAATGTTCTTGAGCTGTGAGGACCATGCCTGACCAGCCCTAACCCTGCCCGTGTGTCCGTGCTTATCTCGAAATCATGTTATAGTGCAGGAAAGCTGGGTAAATGGGCATTAAAGGACTGGTCCTCTGTCTTCTCTCCAATTTTGATTTTTCCTTCTCCGGCTGCTGCTCTTTTCAGTAATGGAGCGCATGCAGAATGAGCTGGTGAGCCGCCTGAATGACAACGAGGAACTGGTGAAAAGCATCAGGGACAAGCTGGGCAAGTTCAATGCCAAGCTCATGGACCTCCGTGATGCACTGAACGAGGCTGTCAACAAGACTGCCCAAGCAGAGGAGCTCAACAACCTCAACAGGAACAGGCTGGAGGACAACAGGGTGAGCTGAGGAGAGCAGAAGAGAAAGAATTCTGGGCCCTTTATTTGCTGCACGCTTGTCTTTTCTCTCTACTTCATAAAGGTTATATGAAAAGATGTGGCTTTGCTTCACTTAAGCAATTAATCTACTGGTTGATTTATCAGAGCATAGATGACTGATGTGGCACTTTACTCGTAGGCCAAGTTTATCATTTTGCCAAAGCCTAAAATTCACTAGTCCTCCTGCTGCTGGAACCCATCCTCACTTCCACAGTGAAATTAAAAATATATGATTTCAGTAAAAGGTCAGGCACCATCGCAAAAGAAAAACAACTTCAAGAAGAGTCAGTGATAAGGGTTATGAAGGTCCTTACATTTATATCTTTATATATATACATTTATATCTGCCATTTTCACAGTGGCTCACTGTGTTGCAGTGTAGATGTCTTTGTTAGTAGCTGTCCATTGGTGGAGAAAACCTGTACAACAGTTAATTCCTCATGTTCCTTGCCTTTTTGAAAGTTTTTCTATGCTTTCTTGATCTCAATATTCTAGGAAAAGATTGAGGAACTTGAAGGCAGGAAAACGGAAGTTCAGCAGCTCCTTCAAATGGCTGAAGAGGCTGTGGCTCAAGTCAACGATCTCCTGTCCATGCTTCAGGAGAACAAAGAGGTTAGTCTAGCAGTACAAGACGTTTGAAAACTTAGAGTTTTACCTCTAGCAACTTGCCCCTCATGCCACCAAGTTTAAATTAATGTATTGTTAATGTTTGCATCATGCTCCTTAGAATCAATTTTCATATCAGAATTATTTATTTAGAAAAAAAGTTGCTTTGGTCATGCGTTTGCTTTTTTTTCTGAAACCACAACCTCCGTGATTCAAAGAACTACGTGCAGAAGATGAGATATTTCATTAAAAGTATAATGATTAAGTCTGCATGGGGGCACATAGAAGCTTACGGCTGAGATATGGGGAATCTCAGAGCTGTGCCTCAGCGCAACTCAGCTGATAGTAGAAAGCAAGCAACTGCCATGCCTGGTAATTTGGGCAATCTGGTGATATTTTCATATAGAATTACTATATGTATTTATAGCTATATTTGCATTAGTGTGGTTTGGTACAGATTCTTTCCTTTAGATCTGTTGTGCTCATGCCTTGACAGTACTTCCTGCAAAACCTATTTTGAAGTCAGTTGCTGAGCTAATTGCCCAGGGCTCGTGGGACTCTTTACATCCCTGCTTTGTAATCCTTGGCAGGAATATGAGAGACTGGCAGCCCAGCTGGATGGAGCCAGGATACCCTTGATAGAGAAGGTGCAGAAATTTGGTCCGTCCATCAACAAGATCGAACTGGTGGAGGAAGCCGAGAGACACGCCATGCTGCTGGATGAGCTGGCCCGGAACCTCTCTAGGTATGGTCCTTCTTAAACTTTACCACATCCAAGTCATAGGTTTTCCGGCAAATGGTATGTTTCACATTACAAATGAGACAGACGTATAAAGAAACCCACTTCCGGAAACACCAAAAAAGAAAATGTGGAGAAAAAAAATAGATGATGACTCCAACAATAATCACTTAGCTGAGGCCAGTGAATGAACTGTCGCTCAACACCTGCAGCAACCAGATAAACTCTGTGTTACATCTCATCTGAAGGACAGAGCACAAGGGGGTGTAAGTAAGATGCTCAGGACAACATGCAGGGCTTGAACTAGCAGTCTTGGTAACAAGCCCTATACCTTACTTTTCAGTCCCCAGGCTCTTTTTTTATCACTATGGGAGATCCTACAATTGGGGAAATCCAGTTTTTAAAACGAATACAGTTGATCATTTTAGCCCTGCCCTTTTTTCAGGGTTATCATGGACACAAACCAAGATGGCTTCATCCAGAGGGCCATTAACGCATCCAAAGCCTACTCCAGCATCATCGAGGCTGTCCGCAATGCAGAGAAGGCTGCCAACGATGCCAACCAAGCCGCAACAGAAGCTCTGAAGGTTTGTTCACTTTGCACAGACAGTGAGGTCTGGTTCTGTTCTGTCAGTTTCTAATCTTTTTTCTTCACAGTGGCTTTTGATTCTTGGTATATTATGCTAGAAACTCCCTACTGGTGTCAGCCAGAGAGATTCTGTACTCTTCTGTCTCTTTATTTTTTATTTGCGCATGCAACTCAGCGATGTTAACTTAAATGGCTTCTCATCAGATAGTGGTTGTTTTGCAGAATGTGATGTCTGAAGATACTGGGTCGAAAGCAGAGAGGCTGAAAAACAAAAGCAATAGTCTGGAGGAGAAGGCGAAGACAGTGGAGAAAAAACTTTTAAATGGTAGTGGAAACAAAAATATATTTTGCTGGCTTTTTCACACAACTGTATAGTTAAAATGTCACCGTCGAGCAATGACACTTGAAACAAAATGTGACAGTGTATACCACATGGCGCTACACTGGCTCAGTGTGACCACTGCTGGTGTCTAGTATGGTTTGCATGAATCCTCTGTTGGACGCTAGTAATGTTAATGCACCCTGGTTTGTGTCGTATTGTGTATGTACAGCATATTCCTTGCAATAATTATATTGGTCTGTACTGCACATATTTCAAAGGTTGGATAACTCTGTTAGGACTCTTTTCATCTACATATTAAAACTGGATTGAATCTGGCACTAATTCAGATGTCCTCACTGCCGTTTCTGTCACAGACCTGAAACCGCAGCTCCAAGCAGCAAAGAAAAGACTACAAGATGTCCAACGCAAACAGAGGCAGCTGCTGAAAAACTTGGAAGCTGCTCAGAGGAGTCTTAACTTTAGCAGAGGTGGGTTATGTTGTAGTTCACCCCTGGCCACTGATCAGGAGCAGAATCCCCTGATGTTGACTTTGCTCTGTTTGATCTTCTATCTTCCCACCCTCCACTTTAAAAGCAGAAGGTGTTACAGTTAGTTTTATTCTATCAGTGTGTTTTCAGGTCTGTATTTACTGTCCTATTATTTCTTAGCTTCTGTATTGACTAGTTGCTAAAGACATTCTGTCATTACAAAGCGACTCTTGTTTAATGCACATGGTTTGAGTTGCGTGTTTGAGTACAGCTTTTCGAGCTGCATTCAGAAATGACTGCACAGGTGCTGTCAAACCTATGCACATATTATCGCAGAAGACCATGGGCAGAGACTGAGTCTGGGGTAGAGTAAGAGACCAGTGTATAGAAGCACTTGATTTTTGGAAAATCTAAAATATTTGAAAATACTTAAATCTTCCAAGCAGGACTAATTTCAGGACCTTTTACTTCTTTTTTTTTTCTATTGTTGGTCTACATTAACATTCATTTAGCATATCAGGGATGGTGAAGGTTATGTATTATATGAGTGGCTAAGGCTTTCCAATGCATCTTTTCAAGGTTTATGAATACAGCGTTTCACACGGCGCCCATTTGGCTTATGCGCTTCTAATTGCATTAGAAGCTTTTGTGAAAGAGGCCCCTAATGTCTTTTTGTACAACAAGCGAGCACAGCAAAGTATTAAGACTGCTGCATTTTCACCCTCCTGCCTCCATGACATTCTGCACAAAAGCTGCTGCAGATAAATGCATACACTAGTTGCATCTGTTGAGATTGTAAGCTTGAGGCAGTCGGTCTAAACACAAGGAGACTGAGCCACTGGTTTCACTAAGAGGCCCTGTTGAGTTTGCTCTCCTCTGAACCGTAAGTAAGATGCTGTCAGCATTAATGCAATCCTCCATTTTCCTGAAAATGTTTTGTTTTTTTTGCTTCTCTTTGTGTCCCTGTAGAAGAGACAGCAGAGGATATTGCAAAGGCCAAGTTAGCCGCGGCAGAGGCCAATAATACTGCCGCAAATGTGGAGAAAGCTCTCAGCCCCATGAAGCAGCAGCTCGAGCAGTGGAAGAAGCAGTATGGGAATGCCAGCGAGACGAGCATGGATTTCAACACTGCCTTCCAGGAGGCCAACAAGTCCGGTAGAGCCCAGGCCTTCTGCTCCTCTCCCTCCTTCCTTGCTCTGGGAGGCCTGATGGCTTCCCAATAAAGCATATAAGCTCCTAGCATCCTCTGTCAATTCAGGATGCAGGATCCTGGGGTGAAACCAGGAGATTATATCACACTCCTAGTAATACAAGAACATGGGGGTCACAATTGGAAACTAAAAGGGAAATCATCTGGGCAGAAATAAGAAAGATTGCTTTACAAAAGATAGGCCCAAAGCTCTTTTATAAACTGCCAAGATGAAATATAATATATTGATGTAGTTGATAATATGTGATATACAATAGTTTCACGTGGCTACTAAACTATAGTATGTAGTATTTTTGTTTTTTTTGTGAGTTTTGCTTGGCTTTACTATTATTCCCTATGGTTTACACAGTGCTTTACCATGCCTCTGTATATTTGGCTGCAAATTGTCAATGATTTTGTGATAGTTCAGGTGGGTAGCTGCGTCAGCATGCGTAGGCTGAAAAGAAAGAAAACACAACGTTTCAGCTGTGGAGCCTTCTTCAGGTGTGAGAAAGACAGGGCAGTAAGCAAAGGTAATGTAGCAGGAGAACAAAAGCTGGGAGAGAGGAGGAGCGAGGGGCGGGAGCAGGGGACAGAAACAGAGGCCAATCAAGAGGTGTGAAGTCAGGATAAGTGAAGTGAGGTGTGAAATGAAACCTACAATGAATGGAGAGAATTTAGAAGAAAACTAGTCTGTGGTTAAAAGAAGGGGGAAGGTGTGATCCTAGCTGCAGGATAATTTTGGTTTCTGTAGTCTTTCTGATGTATGAGTTCGGAAAACCGTCTTTGAGGACACAGACGGAGAGATTAGAGTGGTCATGGCAGTCAGAGGTGAAATGGGAAACAATGGGCTTGGAGAGATCTTTAATCTTCACAGAACCTAACGTGTTCTCTGAAGTGGTCTCCGAGTCTCCTTCCTGTTTCTCCAATGTAGATGGCTGGGCATTTACTGCATTAGATACAGTAAATAAGGTTGCTGGAGGTACAAGATGCCATCTGGGTGATTCGGAATTGTCCTGAGAGGAATGAGTGTGGTGTTAGATGTGTACTTGCAGGTGGTACAGCGAGCTCTGCTGCAAGGGAAAGTACCTGGTGTGGATGGTTGCTGAGGGCGGTCAAGGGAGCTGCGAACAAGATGATTACGCAGATTAGGTGGTTGGCGATATGAGATGATGGGGCAGTGAGAAAAGAAGGGCCCAATGGAGGGATCTTCCTGTAGGATGGAAATGATTTCGTGATGTGCATTGCTGTTTCTAACAAAGACACCAAACTGAGATCAGTATGTTGAGGATGTTTCGGGAACCAGTGTGAGGGAGTGATTGGATAAAACTAGCCCTAACCTGGAGATTTTCACTTGTTCACATCGCCATGCCACAGTGGGAATGCTGGGAGACACCATCCCCTTGCTCATAAAGAAGCTGGATAGCTTGCAGAGCCGCTCGATCCAGATGCCCAACATTTCGGAAAACATCCAGCGAATCCGGCAACTCATCTCCCAAGCCCGGAACGCTGCAAGTAAGGTAAGAACTGCATGAAGAAAGTGCCAGGCTGGGCGGGGGTGTCCTCAGCTTGTGATGTCAGTGAGAGCCTCTTCCAATCAATGATAGCTCGCCTGAACAGCACTGTGGAGCTTCCAGCAGCATGTCAAGAGAGGAGCAGCACAATGGTGGGCATATCAGAGCAAGAGTGTGCTCCTTCCTCCTAGTGTGGTTCAGTGGTTATTGAAGTGAGCGAAGTGTAAAAATACACAATATTATAGAAGCAGAAATAGAGCACCTTTCAACTAAACTCTTGAAGACTGAAAAGATGAGTGTTTTTTTACCCATACCATGATGCTTTTTTTTTTTTTTTTTTTAATTTGCAAAGGTGAACGTGCCCATGAAGTTTAATGGCACTGCAGGTGTACAGGTCAGAAATCCCAGCAACCTCGCAGATCTCACAGCCTACACATCCCTCAAGTTCTACATCACTCTGCCAGAGGCCCCCTCCAAGCGCCAGACAGAGCCCACCAAGCAGTTTGTTTTCTACCTTGGCAATAAAAACGTAAGTTTCTGGATGCTGCTGCACTTCTTTTGGCATAGCTTAGAGCACGGGAGACTTAGAGAGTGCTTACTTCTAGACAGTTTTGCTGAGCCCAGGTCTGTTTCTGTTTTTGATTACTTCGAAGTGTCGCTGATTGGTCTTGCATCGTGGAAAACTGGCAGAAGTTCAGCAAATAGCTTGAAAACTCTCGTGGCCATTTGTCTCCTCAGGTCGGTTCAAGCATGAGAGAAAACAAAAATGGAAACTTAATGAAGGCGACATCACCAGTCCTGTTTCAGGATTGTTTTGGTGTTGGGTTTCATTTAAACTCCTTCTACCGCCTAGGATCTTCAGTAATGATTGCCTGATAATGCCTCTTGTAAGGGTATCCCTAAAGTGGATCGTTTCAGTCATAAGAGTTCAGTCTTATGCTGTCTGTGCTCTTGTGTTATTTTTTACGTTTGACACTTTAGGCAACAAAGGAATTCCTTGGCATGGCACTGGAGGGAAAGCAGCTGAAGTGGCTGTACAATGTTGGTGGCGAGACGGCTGTGGTCGAACTAAACCAAGATATCAGCTCTGGCACGTTTGACGCTGTCAAACTGGAAAGGTGATACAAGGGGAAGGGGGGTGAATGATTAGATCAGACTATTTAGAAACTGCTGGCTAAAAAACACACTTCTCTTGTTTCGGATTATGTCAAGAACACCTCTGCATGTCAGCTGAAAATGTAAGTTTATAGATACGGTACCAGAAAGAGTTGGTGGCAGGCCAGACCCTGTGTGGTAGTCAGTTTTCCCTTTTAAATTATTTCATACCTTGCACAATCAAGCTGTTCTGATTAGAAGTTTTTTGCTTTCCCAGGATCTTGCAGTTTGGCCAGATAGAGCTCTCTGTGAAGGGAACGGTTACACAGGTGACTAAGCAGAATGACAGGGCAAGGGGCGACAGTGGGCTGCTACACCTGCCCCCTGATGAGACTGTGTTTTATGTGGGCGGCTACCCTCCGAGCTTCACGGTAAGAGATGCATCTCCACTGGGGAGTGTTAACCAACTGTTGAAAATGTGTCCAGAACTCAGCTTGTTTATCACAAGATTTGTCTGTGCCCTAAAATTTATATAGAGCTTTTCACATCGGTTGTTTTTCTTGAATTAATCAATCAAGTACTTGGACATGATCAATAAGATTGAATGGGTACTGCTGTAGCTGCCTGCTGGACCACACAATGAAAGGTGTTTTTTTCTAGACTGTAACAAAAGTCTTTTTAGCATGAGAACGTAGTATAAGACAAGTTATATCAAGTGCATTTTTCTAGTTAGTAGTTAATTGATTGAAAAATCGCTTGCGAGTCATTTCTTGAACAAACTGTTTTGGCTTCAGCAACACAAGTGGGCAGCTTGTTCCATACTCCCACAACCCTTTGTGAAAAAGGGCCTCCTGTTCTCAGATTTAAGTGTAGTTTACACTTGTTGTCTTGGGTCTGAAGTTCACTGGTTTAACTATGTTAGTGCCTTTAAGGATTTTTAAGATTATTTTTATTTTTTACAGCCTCCTCGTGAACTCCAGCTGCCCAATTTCAAAGGCTGTATTGTGCTAGATACCCTGAATCAAGAGGTCCTGAGTCTGTACAACTTTGAGCAGACCTTCGATCTCAACACTGCCATAGACCGGCCCTGTGCAAGGTGTGCTCTTGATAAATCATTTTCCTTTGCCAATTAGCTGTCATTCCAAATTCCAGAAAACACCCAGTGATATTCATTCACCTTTCAGCTGTGATCTCTACTTCAAGACAGATCCATGTAAAGTTGCCCTTAAACAGAAAGATATTAAAGGAGATCAAGACTTAACCAAGGGATTAAACCTTTGCTAAACCACATATTATTACTTCATTAACATGCGCAACAAAACAGTCTATTTTATCTTATGCAGTATTTTAATTGCTCCTTTTAGTAACACAGCGACAAGAAAGTAATGGGCATCACCTATTAAATAATCAATTCCTTTCATTTGCACTGCCTCTCCCGGCCTTAATCAATGAAATGACCAGCTACTCGCTATCCGATTAAAGCTTCCTCACCACTCAGTAAATGAGTGCAATATCACAAGGTAACTGTCAACTGGGTAGAATATCTTTGATGCATGTGACATTTCGGAAGGTGCAGAGATCAGTAGGTAAGTGACCTGTGTTGTACTGTACATTATGTTAATGCTATTTGGATGGGACTTGGATGCCTCAGCCTCTTTATATCATGCTGGAGCTGCTGTTACTGTTTTGATTATTTTGTTGCAGGTCTAAGTATGTGCCAGAGCAGTGGGTCGATGATGGGGCCCACTTTGATGGAACTGGATATGCCAAGATTGATTTCCGAGCTGACGGCGGCCCAACCAGGCGCTTTGAGCAGGAGATCAAAGTGCTGTCTTACAATGCTGTCCTGCTCTTGTTTCAGAAAGAGGTACTTTCAATTGAGCCTTTCCCCAGTGATCTGTTTCTGTCAAAAGATTACCAACATGACAATTGATGTAAAAAATAATGAACTTAAATTAAGAAAAATCACAAATAAAGTCTGATGCTGTTTTTTTCTTTTTTTTTTTTGTTTACAGTGCACGCATTCGTACCAAGTGTTGTTTTTGCAGGCATTTCTGACCTGGGTTTATCTGTTTTCTATCAGGACCAGTTCCTCTGTTTGGCAGTTGTTGATGGAGAGCTTAAGGTTTACTATGATTTCAATGGAGGAATGCAGGACATCAAGCCAGAAAAAGACAAATCTGCCCGGATCAGTGATGGCAAATCCAGACAGGTAAAGCAAAGCTCATTTCCTCCTGTCTTTAGAGTTTAAATACCTACTGTTTCAGTCGGTATTCTCTTGAGTCTAACAGCATTGAGCACTGCGTCCTCATACCTCTTGGATCATTTTTGTACTGAAAATCACCCGTACAGTGATTACATATTACATATTAGTACAATTACATATGAAAACTTAATAAAGTGTAGTCAATCCAAGTATCACAAATTTAGACTTTAAAATTTAGACTTTTGTGTTAAAATGTGCATTATAATGTTCTCAAAAGTTGAAATGCATTATAAAGTACTAGTTAACACCATAATATAAAGAATGCATTTGCTCTAGTGCTTTTAGGAAGTTATTTGCTTGTGCATTACTTCCTGGAAAGGCTTAACTGCTGAAATTCATGACAAGGTGGGAATTAATTTTATGTATGCCTGCTCCATTTTGCCTACTCCTGTTCCTATATCGAGAGCGATAGTGACCAAAGTAACATTATAAATATAATTACATTCACTGCCATTATATTGCAGCTCAGACATTTCAAGTCTATGAGTGAGGTTTGCCTGTAAAGATGACCGTAATAGCAATCCATTCTCCTTCAAAGGTTTTCTGAAAACCTTTCTTTTTTTTTTCTCAGCTGGAGATCATCCTCCATCAGACAAGCAGCGGCACAAAAGTGATTGTCCGTATTGAACGAGCAAGCATCTTCATCAAACAGTTTGATAAGCCCTTCCCGCAGTTCAACGATTTCTATTACCTGGGCGGAGTCCCCCAGGACAAGATGCCAGAGGGGTAGGTTTAACGACCAGTCTGGTTTTCTTTCCGATTATTCAAAGGACACTTAAATTTCAACTCTGTAGTACTGTAGTACTGCTAGCATTCAATAAAATTCTTCTATAGAATTTGTGTAATTTGGACAGAGAAAAAAATAATTATTAAGTAGGTAGGTTAGGTCCCCTTTTCAGGCCATAAAGGTCCATGGTGAATGGGGGCCACCATTTTTCTAAACCATCAAACTTGAGGTGGAGGTGATGGGGTCAGCATCACACTCCAGCCTATTACCCAGGAAAGACCCCCCGGTACTCATTTGGAAAGCAGGATGAGTGGACCTGGGAGGTGTCTGGAAGGAATTAGAACGAGCTCCATCGCTTGCCCCTACCTGGGATTGAACCCGGGACCTTCCAGTCAGGAGCTAGACGCCCTTGCTGTCTGAGCCACCACGGCTCCAAAAAAGTAAATAAATAAAAAATGATTATATATTATTAATTATAATGGTAATAGAAAACGGGTGCTTTGGTTTCTCCCACATTCCAAGGACGTGCTAGTATGTTAATTGACTTCTGGGAAAACTGGCCCTGGCGTGAGTGTGTCCGGCAATAGACTGACGTCTCCCCTGTGACCCTGTATCGGATTATGTGATAAGAAAATAGATGGATAGATACTGGTAAAAAATAAATTATTGTATCACAAAATGTTGACTTCAGAATATCAGGTTCCCTGTAATGTTCTGGTATGGGATTTTTTTGTTGCTCAGATTGAAGGCACTGTTCCCAAATCGGGGCTCCTTCAAGGGCTGCCTCAGGAACGTCAAGGCTCTTGGCAAATACGTCGACCTCAAACGAACAAACAGCTCTGGGGTCAGCTATGGGTGTTCCCCCGACTTGCTGGTGAGTTTGCGACTGCCTGTTTCAAGGGAATGACTTGTCTTGTGAGTTTGGCTTTCTGCTGCAGAACTGTTATTTAAAAGCACTTGTAATATAATTGTAAATAACTGAAACAACTTGGTTCCTACAAAGCAGTACACTGCTGTAAATCCAAACTGCCAGCTTTATTATAATGGTAATAAGCTTTTGATTTGTAACTTTAAATATACGAAACAATCGGAACAATTGCATGGCACATGTGCTCTTCCTGGCCAGGATTCAATCTGCCATTCCTGAGGTGTGTCTTAGCACATGAGATGCACAGCTAATACCAACAGCACAGAGGTCATCTTTTTAGCTCAAGAGACTTCAAGGCCACTGTAAGTTATGGGGGAAGTGACACCACCACAAGAGTCACATCTTAGTCACTTCGATACAATAGCTCCCTCCTCAGTGTTGTGCTTCTGGAATAGGCAGAGTAGATGAAACCCTGCATCTCATAGCCTTGCAAAAAGATCTTTGAAGCTGAAAATCATTCTTTTACCTTCATGTCCTTTAGGTCGTGCGGGGGGCAGAGTTCTCTGGACAAGGTTACCTCAGCCTCTCCTTGGAAAATGTCCCCAGTCTGCAGGATAATTTCTACGCCGGATTTGGCTTCAGGACAAGCCAGAAAGATGGACTTATGTTTTATCATGAGGCTCAGGTACATACTGTGGGGTCAGGGAGAACAGGGAGCTAGCAGGTGCACTGGTGACTCTCCTGATTAATGTAATTATTCTCATATTCTCATTGCAGGAATATGAGGCAAAATCATTCTATGCTACACTGAAATCCCCGTTAGTATTATTGTTGTAATGATGTATAGGACACCCTTTTCCAGAACAACTTACATTAAAGAATCACTTTTTGTATAATCTAACAATTTCAGTCAACTACAACTCAATCCCAGAGTGCATCATGTAGAATGATATAATAAAGCATTACCATTTGAAATAAAAAATAACAAACAATGATAAGTGATAGTACAGCCATCTACATGATTGTGCCAAAAAGTGCTTTTCATTAAGATTAAAATGCAATTTAAAGTTTTGTAGTTTATGATTGCTGGCCTAACTTGTTTGATCATTGTGTACCAAACAGTAATTATCTTCTCTTGGTTGATACGTGTAGATACTATTGACCTTGTTTCTAAAAGTCTTGACTTGGTTCTAAATACAGTACACATTTATATACTGTATCAAATGTAATGATGTTGTTGTTTTGTAGGATGGAGTCTGTGAAGTCTATCTTAAAAATGGGCTTGTGGTTGCAAAGTCAGTCAATGCTGAAGTAAGGAGCAAAATGATCTATAATGACGACAGTAGTCATTATGTGTCTTTATACAGCAACAGCAGTGGGTAAGTCGCATAGTATGGTTTTAATAGAAAAGAAATGTATGCCATGCATTTTTGTGCTTTAGATTTCTATCAATTTGTACCTCGTCGTTTCAGAGTCATAGTCTTAGAGCAGCTGCATCCTGTGTGAATCCTAACTGTGTCTTGTTTCCCAGGTTGCTTCTCTATGTGGATGATGACTTGATGAAGACTGGGCCTGTGCAGCCAAAAAGGTCCAGACACCGCCGGCAGACACAGCTGGGGAGCTTCTATCTCGGTGGCTCCCCGGCCTCCGGCAGTGCCCCCAACCTCACAGGGTGCATCAGCAACCTGTTTGTCAAACGGTGAGGAACGTCATGTGTCCGATAGACTCCCTGCCAGTGGAAATTAAAGAGATACTGTAATAGGGGCCACCAGTTGCTCCGCTACCTTCAGAAACCCCTTAATCTGCTCTTCGTTTGGTTTCAGAAACAATATCATGTATTATTGTTCATTCCAAATGCAGAAGTAGTTAAGAATGCGTTTCTTTTATTAAACAAATTTGTTTTTTACTGATAATGATGGGCAGGATGGTGCTTTCTTTTTCAAATAGTAAGCTATATAAAAGTCCTTGCCAAGATTTTTAAAATAATGCATGGCAACATTTATTTGAAGCAGATATTTCATAAATATGACACAGATGAAGAAGGAAAATAGTAGAAGAACCAAAATCATTTTAACATCTTGAATGTAAGAACCAAGCAATTCACTTTTAAGTGCAAATATTTTGAGGGTCCTTTCTCAAAGCAAGATTGATGGGCAGTTCCACCTTCTGAATAAAAGCTGACTAACTGGATGCTTTTTTTGCTTAAAAAATATTCCGGAACAGAAAATAGCTGCTAATGTGTTACTGTAGTAATAGGAAAAAATAGTGAAAGGTGAACAAGGAATAAAGCAATGTTTTCTCTTCTGTTTGTAGGAATCAGATCTTGCAAGAGGTGGTGGATTTGCTCCAGTCACATCTCGTAAACGTGTCTTTGAACTGCGCAAACAGGAGGAAGCCCTTGCCGATGTGGGCGTCTCCAAGAGGCCACAAAGCTTCTAAGGTAAGACAAGTCAGAGAGTTCCTGTTCCGCCTTAAAACATATGCAGCCCAAAACTGACTGGCTGTGACCTTACTGTGGTAAAATGCAGATCCCTTCTGTATGGATTTTTCTCTCTGTGATGAGGATTGAGGGGGGCGATTTCCCCATTTATTCATCCTGGTAACTGGAGCACAACTTCCCCAGCTCTGTTTAGCATGTACTGCACGTATGTCAGTTATTTAAATTTCATGGTATTAAACGATATCGTCTCACCATAAGACAAGTTACACACAATATAAGACAGTTTAGTCTGTTTACTTAATTGATACCTAAAGCACTTTGCAACTGTTAATTTTCCAGTCGTGGTTTTCTCTTCACAAGTACTGTATGACACATGGTGCTATTGCCATTCGCTTAAACACTACATTTAAATTAATTGTCACAGTCCATGACATATCATCTGCAAAGATGTTGGGTTTTCAGATTCTCCCGTATTTATCATATTCATACCATAATGCCACAGTGTCTCAGCTCTCTTTGTTACCAAGAAAAGTGATTCTTCTTATAGAAATGTGCACGCAATTTAAGGAATTATGTCCTGTGAAACATCTGAAAAAATATGTGGACTGTTGATCAGTGGAAAACAAGTTCAGCATATTTATTATTGAAACTAAAACAAAACAAAATGTTTCCGTGCCCTCTTGAGATACTATGATTTAAAAGAACAATAGGCAAAAATGTAACACACAGACTGCAACCTAGAAAGTACTTACTACTTTAGTAGTGAAAGTTTTGTGGTAGTGATTCAGTAATGATATTGGTTGGTTCTCTAATCTTATTCAGAATTCTGTAATGTGTTTACTGCAGTTGTAGTGTTATGAGAAACTGGGTCCATATGCAGTGTATTATTTTTATCATTTGGTATTTATAGCAGTGTATAAAGCAGTGAATAAAAAGTCAGCAAGATGCCTTTTATGCCACTTACTGTCATGTTTAATCCTGCTTACTAGGTCCATTCCCAGGCATCCTTAAATGTGCCCAGGAATCGCAGTGTGAGGGGGTCTTGCCAAACAGAGCAACCTAGACGCATCACAGCAGGACTGCAGTTCAGTGGTTCCATGACAAGCCATCTAGAATTCAGCACCACGCCAGTGGATTTCAAGACAAGGTACTGTGTACGAGCTCATCCATCTTCTCGTTGAGACGTTTTGAGGGGTTAACCTTGTACAGACTGCTAACATGAGTATTCTAAGCAGATCTAAAACTTTCTCAACATCAAACAGATTCCACTTTTCAATGGACATCCATCTGAACTCTTCGGATGGTCTGATACTCTACATCTCCGGAGAGAAGGAGCACAATGTCATGACTCTGTCTGTGGTCAACGGGCACTTCGTCCTGATGGTAGATGGTGGAAGAAGGAAGAAGACTGAAATCAGAAGCAATAAGAATTACAATGATGGACTGTGGCACACAGTGAGTTTTCTTGGAGCCACATATGATTTGTTTTACTTTTTCTTTTCTATTTTTGTTAATGGTTGAAGGTTCATTGCAGGTTACCGCAAATAAAAATAGTGGAACCGTTTAGGAGGGGGGTTCATCCTGTTGTCATTGTGGGTCCTAATGCCCAAGTATAGTGACAGGGACACTATACTGTAAAAAAGTCGCCGTACTTTGGATGAGACCGATGTTCTGACTCTTTGTGGTTATTAAAAATCTTAGGGTGTTTTTGTTTCAAAGATTAGGAGTGTTATCCTGGTATGCTATCCAGATTTACCCCTAGCCTTTATCAACCATGGCCTCCTAATAATCCCCATTTGTGAACTGGCTTCATCACTCTCCTCCCCACTGAGAGCTGGTGTGTGGGAAGCTTACTGGCGCACTATGGCTGCTGTTGCATCATCCAAGCGGGGGCTGCACACTGGTGGTGGTCGACCAGAGTCCGCATTACCTGTAGCTTTGAGTGAAATGTCCAGAAAAGCGCTATATAAGTTTAACTGAGCACCAAAAAATGCAAAGAAGAGCCTGAAAGTGAAATGTAAATATGCATAGGAATTGAGCTTTAATCAACATTCCCCTTTAAATTTGGTTTAATAATCAAAACCACAAAATCAAACTATATTTAATATGTGGTGAATTTGGGTGGGTGTAGGTAAGACTTAATCTGTTTGATTGATTTTTGCTTGTTTCAGGTGTTTGTCAAGAAAGAGAAGGATAAAGTCCGCATTGTGACCGATGGACTGGATGTCCAATCAAAAAGGCTTCCAGGTGGTGCAAGGATGTCACTCAGCTCACCTTTTTACGTAGGTGGGATCCCAGCAGGAAAAAGCAGGAAACTCTCAGCTGTAAGTGGGATTGTTAACATAACCAATTGTGCTGCCAATGTGGAGCAGCTATAGCTATAGACCATATAGAAACACTACACAAATTACAATTAAATTAGTTATTAGTTTACTACTAAACTACTACTATGGCTTAAAATAATTTGTTTTTTTATAACTGGGTGTTATCTACATCATCATTCCCAGAAAAGGATCCTCAAATGCAGAGATGCTTATTTTAAAACTCTCTTTAATAAGTAGAAAACAAAACTTATTGAAATGTTAATACATCAGTGTTCGCATGATTAAGAAACTGAAATAAGTTGTCAAACACTTAGGGTTTTCTTTTATGTGCAGAAATGTGTGAAACCATTTTCTGGGGGCGGGAGTGTATTGAAGAGTTTGCACCACAGAGCAGTGCTGTACAGCACATAATGAAAACTGATCCATAGTTAGTTTCCTGGATTTAGGCACTTGAAGAAGGCTCCACAGACAAAAAATTGCATCTCTTTCCTTTTCTTTTCAGAAACCTTTACTTGTTTCATAGTTATATTCATATATTACCATTTGCGAACGACATCAGGCACGTTTAGTTTCAGTGTTTTCTGTAGGAGACGTTACAGCCGGGGTGAAGCAGCTTTTGTGAGGAGGTGATCGTCTTTCTGCTTCCAGGTTGAGGGGCGCGGTTTTGTGGGCTGTATCAAGGGGATGAAGCTGGACAACGTGCCCCTGGATCGCCCCTCCCGTTCACTGGGGGTGGTACCTTGCTATGAGAAGAGTCTGCAGCCAGGGGTGTACTTTGCCAGCGAAGGAGGGCATCTCACTCTTGGTAAATATTGCAATACGATGCCCAATCACTGCAGTTGGGATGCCAACTCCTGTGGTCCTCTTCCTATAGTTTATGACTCAAGCAGAATTATGCTTGCTGTAGCGTGAGAACACCAGTATTTAAAATGAGTGCTAGAATCCAAAGCTTGGATTATTTTTCCCACCACAGAAAAATGGCATTCCAGCATTCATCTTCATGTGCCACGTCTATGCTTTTCTAAATGCTGTCGAGGTAGGGAGAATTGTGTCAAGTGCCTGATAACCTGCATTAATTAGTTCATATTGATTGGTCCTGTTTCACAGCTGTTTACTGCTTATAAAAGCTATAGGAAAGCCTGCAGCTCACTGGTTGTTAACTATGTAGTTCAATCTACTGTAAATCTAAGACGTCCCATACCAAAGTTTGCCACAGCAGGTTTTTTAACATATTTTTGCAGTTTTAACCTGCATTAACTTTGTTCTGTCTTGTTCTCTCATGGTATCATGCTTTACTAGACCTCTTTTGGACAAACTCTACTCCTATTGTGATTTTATTGTACGTTACATAGCACACTTCTTTACCAGCAATTATTGTCCAACTGCTAACCTCCCTTTCAATAGTAATCAGCACTCGTTGTGTCTGCACTAGATTTATTTAGTGAACATTTTATTCTTCTGAACAAAAATCACCTTAAAAACCTAGAGGGTGAATATTGTATTCTCCATTCCATTAAAACAAAAGAATACCAACAGACACCTAATCTAACTTGGTGAAAATAAATCAATCTGCAACCATGGCAAACACCCTCCATGTTTACCATCAGTACTTCAGCATGAGTGAGCAAAGAGGCAAAACTCTGAGTGACTGTGATGTTGCATGAAAACGGCATGCATTCGTTTGTCATTTTTAAAAGAACGCTTTTTCCACTTATAACTGGAAAAGAGGGGATGTTTAAAAGTATGAAAATAAGCATCGAAAACCAAGTGCCCTAGCTTTACACCACTTATATCAGTTTGGATCATGAGCTGTCGGTACACCATTAAAGGAGATAACTGGGAATAGGTCGAACTCCTGCCCGTTGCCTCTGTTGTTTAGGTTTGTCTGAAAGTCAGAAACGTGACAAGTGTTTTGTATGCTGTTCCTTCCAGATGACTCCTTTGTAACTGGTCAGGACTTTGAGGTGGTTCTGGAGGTCAAGCCTGTAACCAGCACAGGCTTGCTGCTTCATATCGGAAAGAATAAAGGACAGTTTGTCTCCCTCTACATGGCAAACGGCGAGGTAAACTCCTCTTAATCTCCTGTAAGCCATTGAGGTCAGCAAAAATGTTTTTGCACAAAGAATATGTCGTGCGGGACATGCATATACAAAAGATCAATATAAATATAAAGGTAACACTGTACTAAGCCTTTCCAAAGGCATGTATGCTGTAGAATTGTGAGCAGTGGGTGTTAACAAGTTGAAACCAAATGCCTTATCACTTTCTAAAAGATAACTTCCATAGACAGGCCTGTGAGTGGATGCCTAGGTGACATGTCCACCTGCTGGAGAAATGTTGTTATTACAATTAAAATGGGGAGAAACTTTGCATGATCATTTTGTGTAGTGCATAGTTCAGATGTTGCTAAACTGATGTCTTACGCACCCCAAAACCTCAGCTAGTGGAAAACAAACCATTGCTTCGCTTCTCTTTGAGATCTGGAACTCAGAAGGTTCTGCTAGGGCCAGTTCTTCAAGAACTTTGAAAAATACATTTTATGAAAAAAAGTAAACCGGTAAAAAGAATGTAAAATTAAATCTGCTGCATGCATCATTCCGCACAGGTTCTTTTCACGGTCGACAATGGTGGAGGAGCGTTCTCGGCTTCGCTGATCCCAGAGGAATCCCTTTGCAATGGGAACTGGCACCATATTGCAAGTAAGGCACTCGTCCGATCGCCAGATTATCAATACGCACATGCAGCACAAAATGAAGCATGTAGTCAACATAGCTTGTCAAGGCTTCCAGTCTCGCTCTTCCAATTCTTTGCCAAACAGGAAGAATTGCTGGGCAGATTTGAAAGAAACAATGTTTCTCTCCTGGATTGATTTTCAGTTGTCAAGAAAAACAACGTCATCCAGCTGGATGTGGACTTGGAAAGCAATCACACAGTTGGCCCGCGAGGATCGGTTTCGTCACGGACTAGAGCGATGGCGTATTTAGGAGGCGTGCCAGGTGAGGGGGCATTGAGGGTGGGTCTTCAGACCATGCTTTTGTAGTTTTCTGTGGGATACCAAGCAGCTGCTATTTACCTCACGTCACATCACTCCTTCTTAGAGCTGTGCAGTTCACGAGCCATTGATTCTGTTCTCCATGGAAAAAATCACTTGAGCGAATCAAATGTATTGGTTCAGTTTTCCCTCGGACTTTTGATTAAGTCCTTTCTTTTGATGAAGTCAGTCGGCTCAGAGTATAGAACTGAGTATTGAACCAAGCGAGGAAATCATTCCGTTCTAATCTCAGAGCCCAGAGAACAGAGGTAGGAATTAAACTGGAGTCCAATGTAATTAATCCATCCATTGTCTAACCATTTCATCTAATTCAGGGTCTCAGGGGATGCTGTCTTTCCACGTTAAAAAAGAAACAATGTCCAGACTATTAGTTTCATTGGATATTATTTTCCATTTTGCTTTGGAAATGAGTAACCCTCTTTTCAGTAATTATGTTTTTGAATATAATATTTAGTAGTAGTAGTATTCAGTGACTCAACCCCCTCTCAGTAATTGACTCATTCACTGGCTCAGCTTTAGTAGTACTATTTCATTCAAGTGAATTGGGACATCCAATGACAAAAAGTGAATGAATCTTTTGAATTGATTCAGTTAATTAAATGAACCGCTTCACTAAAATGAATTGAACTGTCCAGCTATACTCATTAGCTTGCAATGCCATACATGTGAAAAATGATTTCAGGTTCATTAGTAGAGAGATCTGGGAAATTAAAATTAAAAAAGTGCTATTTGTATATTAATTGCATGGTTTCATGCCTCCTCCACAATTATCAACACACAGCTTTAAGAAACTGATACTTAAACATCTTTTGTATTCAATTTTGCCAGGTAGAAATTAAGCACATGAAGGATATGTTTCTCCAATGAAGAGTTTAATTACAGGTTGTATCTGATAACCCAGGTGTCACGTAGGTTAAGGTACAAGGCATACAGCAGCTGGGTTTCTAGCTAAAGTAATCTTTTCTTTCTTTCCCCAGATACAGTTAAACTTCCTGGCCTACTTTCCCCCATGCCCTCGTTCCACGGCTGCATAAGAAGAGTTGTCATGAACCAGCTCCCTATAGATTTATCCAGGCCAGTATCTATATACGGTGCAGTTGGCCTTAAAGGATGTCCAGTTGTATGAATATGGAAATGCTTACCTTGTTCATAGGATTTTTATGTTTTCACGCTTGGGTGATGGGGCTCTTTGAAAGCATAGGTTAATTTAAATATTTATAATTTTATTGATCTTTAATTTTATTCTGAACATCACTGAAGTTATTTTCAAGATTTCAAACCTACACTATTAATCAAACCTATGCAAATAAAAGGGGGGGTGCGGGCTTAGGAACATGGGACATTTTTTTTTTCAAAACTGTGGCTATTTCCTTCTCTGTAACTGCAGTGGTGTTGGAAGCGCTCAGTTATCCTAAATTAAATCCTTATTAAGTCCGGCAGCTCAGAGATCATTCTTTTAAAAAGAACATTTCATCTGCCACATTAGAAGGACTGAAACATTTTGAACTGGACAAAAAGCAGTGCTGCTCAAACAGGGTTTTGCCTTCTTTTGTTTGGTGTGACTCCGTTAAACTCGTTGCCTTTCTCCCACCAGGTCCACACCTGCACTGCCACCTATTTGCTGTATTTTAATTGTGAATTTATATTGCTTTGTTTGGTATAATGGGATAATATTATAGAAGAGGGTAAGAAAGACTGGTCTATATATGTCATTTTTATTTCAACCTGAAACAAATCAAATCAAATGCCATTCCCAAATCAAGAGTACAGAGTTGATAAGCTTGTGGTTATCCAAATCGTCCAAATAAAAATCCTTGTGACTAAGAAAATATGGAGTCTGTTATTCATTTTTTCTCCCCAGTGTGACAGAACTAGCAATGCATTAACTATAACACACTCTAAAATGAATAAAACTTGTTTTGGATAACAAGGACAATCCCGTACATGGTTACAATAATGGTTATTTTATTTTTATAGGTAGTACTGCCTTCAGCATAAATAAAGCACAAAAACCCAATCGTTCCTGCTCTGTGCCAGGAACAGGATAGTGTTGTGGCTTGAAAGAGCATGTCATTTTGCAAGCAATAATATCCCCCCCCCCCCAAAGTAAAGAATTTTCACTATTTACAAAACAATGTAAACATCTTTCGTGCTGTTTGAAGACTATTTATTTGCGCCAAGCTTGGAACATTTATAAAGAACAATGAAGTAAATCTTCTAGACACACATAGGTGGACTCGCAAGCCCTAGCATGTAATAATGGGATGCAGGCGTGGATACCATCAGCAATACCTAATCCAAACTCATATCTTCTTCATCATCCTTCTTGTCCTTGGGGTCCCCCTCCTTTTTTTCTGCCTTACCATCGCCTTCCATTGCTTTTGCAAATGCTTCCACATCTGTAGATCAAAAGATCATCTGTCAACTGTGAAACTATACATTCCCCAATACTTTAAAAAAGAAAAATGAATACATTAAAAATTAGTCAATTAAGATTGTGAAGAACATTCTTGGTGCCAAACTCTTATAATCTAATTAAATGCTCATTTTATGGTCACTTTTAAATAATGGCCTTACATTCCCATTGAATAACCAAAGAATAATAATTGGACACTTGTTCCGATTTCTAAAGCCAATTTCAGAGTTATTTTAATCCCCAAAAATGCCCTGATTCATAATGAATACTGACTGCACTGTCCAATGCTTTCGTAATACTAATGTAAGAACACACAGAACACACTTGATGCCCCTAAACCTGTTGATCTTGTAAGGCAGGAAACAGCAGATATTCACCTCCTTTGTTTGCAGCGTCGACAGCCTCTGTGGGCAGTCCAAACTGGCTCATGAGAGGACCCAGCTGTCCTGAAGCTAATGCCGAGCTGAACATGCTCATAGCCTACAAGATATCAACAGAAGACAAAACTGTCAAAACAAAGACCCCTTTTAAAGCAGACAATGATATCAAAAAGCAGATGGTTAAATGGAGTTTTGAGCTTCTTTTAAAGGCCTTTTAAAGCCTGTATTTATATACTACAAATGTGGGGGGAAAAACACTTCTGGCCTTTGTGGTCAGTGCTTCACAATTCAGTACTTGGTCTTGTAGTAAAACCAAAGACTTCAGGGGGTGGAGCATGAGTGACCTGCTGGAACTGTGGCGAAGTCAGCGTGTTCTGGATCTCCTCCGCAGTCTGGGGGAGAGACTCTCCTGAGGGTAGGTATGGCAGCAGCCGCTGCTGCACTTCAGCATTAGCTAATATAGGAGCCATGACCTCTGGTGTCAGCACACTGGCCAGGTCCACTGAAAAACAACCCAAGGCAAGAGTATTGCATACCGCATCTCAGCATCATTGCATTAGTATATACATATGCACATACATGGGAGTGAGAGAAAAAGGAATTAAGATTGCACAATCCATCTCTCTACATGGTTGATGGTTTCATTTGATACCGCATTTATGTTTGTGGCCACCCTAGCTGCTTGTCTAAGACCACGAAGCATGATGTGCGATATCACCAGAGGAAGCTCTGATCTGCGGTCAGACTAGACTTGCCACACAGGCAGCACGTGTGCGACAAGCACGACAGTGACGATTCAGCAGGGTCGGCTGGTTTTTAACCCCGTGCAGCATGACGACACGGCTGCCTCGTGACCCTTCCGTACGACGCAGAGGAGCACGGCACTGCACCAGCGAGCACGATCTGAGATCCCTGCCTGACACTCACCCCCCTGTCCGCCTGCCGCCATGGCTGGGACGTTCATGGTAGCCAGGATGCTCTGCAGGTCGCTGAGCTGGATGGGCTGTGTGGGGCTGC